GGCAAGCGAAAGGGCTTCTCGCTTCGCTAATGTCCATGTCCCTCCCATTGCTTTGGCCTCTTCCTATACTTCTGGCAACTAACTGATCCCACTCTCTTTCCTTTCTTTTCCCTTACACTTGTCACCCATCACACTCCCTTACCGTCCCATAACGCAACTGCTTTCTCACTGGATGGGCCCACGCACCGAAAAAAGAATGGGGCTTTTTTTTTTCTTACCGATTGATTGATAATACGATCCTGCGAGGGTCAGCCTGGGACCTTTTACTTCTTGTGATGTACTTTTTGCTACGCCATATCTTGTCTTGCCGCTTTTCTGTGTGCCCTATTACCCGCTCATTTCGTTATTTTCTTAGTGTCTGGGACATTTGGTCGTTCGCCGCCTGTCCGTGTGTTAGTCAATTCAGCGCTTCAGCTTTATATTATGCAGTTCAAGTAAACGGTAGTCTGTATACAATAGGTTTCAGATGTATACGGTAGTTGCGTGAATAACAGACATCTGCCCTCGGTACTGACTGGTGAACTCTCTTTTGCTTAGAGTTTACCCATATTGATTGAATCAATACCGATATCATCAAGCTAGCTAGCTAACGAGAAAGGGTGGGGGAGAAGCAAGGGAAGATAGGAAAGTTATCCACATTATATATATTGCAGCACGACATGTTGTGTTGAAGTCGATTGTCCAAACCCGAGAGTCTGAGGCGGTTGAGATTATATAACGTAGTGGTAGTTGAAGGCTCCATAGCGATATATATATAGGAGAGCATTAGTATCATTCCCATCAAATGAATCCAATAAAAAATATATGCTTCATTATATTTGACCGGAAAACCTCATCTGGAGTCTCGACTTCTTTTTATAAGAGGGATGGATACCGAATAAAGATCATAGAAAAGGGGCAAACATATTTCATCTATCGTCAACTATATTTTGTCTTCTAGCTTGATTAGAGCTGTTCTGCTCACGGGCCATCATATGACTTGGCTAGAAGTGGGCTTCTCACGATGTCTCTCATTTGCTCTTCCTCTTCTATATAGATTATCTTTCGCTTGAGATCGGAAGAGCAATGGCACCCGGAAATGAATCAATATCCATAGAGACTAGATAATGTATTGTCTTTAATAGTTTACTCCTGCATCATCGAGCATCCGTTTGAATGGATATGAACCAGGCGCTACCAGAGGAAGACCATCTATGGAGGAAAATCAAATTCTTCTACCTGAACCTTGGGAAAATGATCCAACCCAGACCTAGGATATACGTATACGATATACTATTTGCTTGACAAATATGGAACCACGTCATATGGTGTCCGGTCATTCAAAATGACAGCATCCGGATTGACTACAGCAATGAAATTATGACAGGTACGTATCCAAACTTGCACTTTTGTAGGCGGCTTATAAATAGACAGGGCCGGGGCAGGACCTTCGCTGATTTCATACAAACTCGAATTATTAGGGACGAACTAAGAAATATTTATCTTTCGCCATTGTTCGGCAATGCTAATATAACGATTGGAGGAGCAATAAAAGAGGGGGTCTTTACGCTTATTGAGGAACAAGATTCTCTGAGTATGCTCCTGGTATATCGTTTGCACTTGTTTTGACTGTATATCTTCTAGACCGATGAGCTATGAACTACTTTGGGTAATTGACTATCAAGGAGATAGAGACATTGTTGAAGGTCAAAGTAGGAATGAGAAAAGGTTCTTAGCAGGCCTGACATTCTGACTATGGAGAGACGCAAAGAAGGACTAGCTTAGATTGTATCTGCTCTCACAATCCCTCCCAAGAATCAGTCTCGGTTTATTCAACCGGTAACCGTAAAATATCGCTTGAAGATCGCCTTACATCGTTTTTACGGCTAGTTCCCAAGGATCCTCCATTTGAGAGCGGATAAGGATGATGCCATAATGGGAAGGGATCCTGCACAATTGATAACCCTAGCTCATGTTCAATAACTGTAGTACGTATAGAGTCAAAGTAGTTACGCGTAAGATACCTTGGGGAAATATTAATAATAGCTCATCGTGGTGGCCAACTACTTGCATGTGTATGCTGTCGAGGGCTACAGAAATCACGTGGATTAAATATGACGTCACAGGCATATATCACACCCAGCAGATATGGCAGAGCGGTAAACGCTGGTGCGGTATTCTCACTCATCTGGGTGCGCAGAGTCCCTTTAAAGCTTACGGTTCAAACTGCGCATGACCCAAATCGGGGCGCAGAGCCCATTTACCCTTGAGGTCTTACAAAAGCGGGCAGGCAAAACTCTATACCTGCCCGGAATCATCTTTTTTTTGCGTGTGTTATTTTACATGCCTTTTCCAAGGTTTCTTGTAGGAGTTACGTGATAAGATCACTTATAGTTGCCAGAAGGGACAACGAGAGTAATCCACGGAGAACTACCATAATGTTGGATACTCCATGTGTTAGAGGTGATATTATGGATTCATTGGAGCGTTTCTTCTACAGTGTTGCAGAAAACGGAGACAAACATAAACACCATGGTTATTGAGGTCGGGGAAGACACTCTAGACACCCTAGAACAGGACAGCTTGTACCGACATTCGTCTCCTCCATTTTTATCCCACCTTATTCCAACCCCCTGGGAACCACAGCTGTACGGCAAAGGAACTAAAGCTTCAGTGAGCATTTCAATTGACCGATGATGTGAGCATTTTTTGTTATGGTACACATTTGGGACCTACCTGCTCCTAAAGCGACTGGTCCCGAGAAAAAAAAATAGAAAGAAAAAACACGCCTGCATCAAGGGAAATAAGGAATGGAAAATGAACAGTATCAACCCCGGTTTACCAGGCCTCGGTGTCGAAGTTCTCAACCCCGAAGTATGAGGCAACGACTGTACGGTCAGAGAACTTGCGACCCGCCAGCGCCTTGAGAGCGTTGGTGGCAGACTCGGCAGTATCGTACTTAATAAAGATTTTGCCAGCGCCGTGTCCGCGGCGGGGGATCTTCATGCCGAGAATCTTTCCGAACTTGGAGCATTCCTCGCCCACATCCTCCATGATTTCTTCATAATCTTCGTCATTGAGAAGTTCGTCAAGCGTGACCATGTTGAGAAGCTGTAGGACCTGGGTGGTCTCGAGATCCTGGGAAGTGGTCTTGGCGAACATCTGCATGGCATTTACGCCCATATCGAGACCAGAGGCCTGTGTGGTTCCAATGCTGGCGAGAACAAACTTGAGGTGGCGGTCGACAAGTTCCATGCCGTTCAAACCCTCAACGGCCAGAGCAGTGTTGTTCGGGTCGACGTATTCATAAAAGGCAATTCCCTGGAAACGTTAGTCACAAAACATTGGACGGTTAGAAATATAATTAAAACTTACCCGAGACTCCTCTGTAGAAGCATCCTTGACCAAGACAAACGACTTAAGGTCGCCGAATGACTTGAGCAGCATGATGATAGCTTCCTCATTGATGTAAGTGGGAATATTAGAGATGCAGATCTTGTTAGGCGAGTCGGGCACCTCGTTCAGAACAACACCGGGTTGAACTGGCTGGGATGCGCTGCCGTCGGGAACAATGTAGTCCTTTGGTCGTCGAACTTCAAGTCCCTTGTCTCCACTCTCCGCCATAGTAATTCCATCAAAGGCCAATGCGACCGTGGCATCATTTGGATCCTTGAACTCCAGAAGAGCGAATGTTTTATCTTCAGAAACTTGGGCCGAGATGCAGGGGTCGACACTCTGAATAACATTGAGACCATTCAACTGAAGATTGAAGAAGGCAATAACGGCATCGCCTGACACACCGGGCGGGATGTTGTAAACGAAAAGGCGCTTTGATTGGCGAGAGTTGGAAGGCTTGAGGGCAGCGTTGTCGCTATCGCCAGTAGGGGGGTTCAGGAAGTCCTTCATGCGGCTTGGGTCCATCGGCTGCTGACGAGGAGCTCCGGGAAGAGGGAACATCCCTAATAATGTTAGACAATTCCACTAGCCCATAAGCTTCAAATACATACCTGAGATCTTTGCCTGTTCAGCCGTAACATTCTCGTAACCAGGAGGCTTCATATCCCATTGAGTCAAACGACGTTTGCGGGTCAACACAGAGGGCACATCTGTCAGATCAGGAGTAGGCTCCTTGCGCCGGGGGGGAGTGGCGCTTCGCTTGCGCTCTCTTCTCTCACGGTCTCCACGGTCTCCACGATCACCACGGTCTCCGCCACCACGCCCGCCGCGTCGGTCGTCGAACAGGTCGCGGCGAGGTCGGTCGTCAAAGTCACGTCGGCGACGGTCGCCCCGGTCACCACCAGCACGGTCACCACCGCCACGTTCACCACCGCCACGTTCAGCACCTCCACGTTCACCACCTCCACGCTCAGCGCGGTCACCTCGCTCGGCACGGTCGCCACGGTCCCACTCTCGATCATCACGGCGGCCGGAGTAGCGGTCTTCGCGCTCACGGGCACGGTAGTCACGGCTGGTTGAGTATGAGTTTACTTCGCGCTCCCGACGGGAGTCACCTCGGGATCCATGATGAGGCGAACGCGATCGGCGTCGTTCACCGCGATCACTCCGATCGCCTCGTTCAGCTCCACGTTCGGTTCCTCGCTCGGAACCGCGTTCAGCACCTCGGTCGGCAGCTCGGTCAGCTCCGCGTTCGGTTCTGTCACCTCGGTCTCGATCACGTCGCTCGTCGCGCTAGAATTGGGGTTAATTGCCGCGGTTGCGACCAAAGATTGGCTGGTACTTACGAAGTAATCGCGGGAACGTCCAGTATCTTAAAGATATTAGCAGCTATATCTGAAGTAATTGTAAGGATACTTACCCCTGGATGAGTAGGTGTCGCCGTTCATCTTGAAGTTGGTTGGGGAAATGAAGCTCTGTCGCCAGCGAAGGGGAAAACTCATGACCCGGAGCTGCAGGCGGTGATACACTCACCGCCCGAACTTCCATTGGGATACCGGCAGAAAAGACAAACATGAAGACAGCGACTCCGCGGTCTCGAATTACTCTTTTTCAAGGTCGGAAAGATGTCTGCAGGTGTTCTATCGGAATGGAAGAAGCTGCCTTTAAGCTTGAGTGAGCTTTGCATCAATACTACTCTTAGATGTGGCCAGTCCTTTAGGTTCGTCACCCGAGTTTTTGGGTCTGGGAACTGGAGATCAAACGACTGACCCTTTTTAGATGGCAGAACTTCCCAGAGAGCCAGGAATGGCGATGTGTTCTCTATGGCCATTTTCTCTCACTGAAGCAAGACTCAGATTTCTTGTACTATAGATCCGTGCAACCTCCTTCCCATACATCCACGCCAGCAACCTCCGACAATGACCATCTTATCCGCATTATCAAACATTACTTCAACCTGACGCCAAATTTGACCGAACTCTACTCCCAATGGTCATCACAAGACCCCAACTTCAAGAAAAAGGCTGCCCAATTCACTGGAATTAGGATCCTTCGACAAGATGCGTGGGAAGCACTGGTATCATTTATCTGCAGCAGCAATAATAATATCGCACGAATCTCGCAAATGGTGGAGAAATTATGCATACATTATGGAAAATCTGTGGCTACGATTGAAGGGCGAGCATATCATGACTTTCCTCCCCCAGGCGCATTAACTGGCAAGGAAGTGGAAAGCAACCTGCGCAAGTTAGGGTTTGGATATCGGGCTAAATACATATACCAAACTGCGGTTATGGTATCAAACCGAGACAAGGGCTGGCTAGACAGTTTGAGCAACCCTGAGTGTCCAGCATTTGGTGTGGATCCCAAACCCAGCAGCGAAATGAAGCCAGAAGGGAGAGAGGGATATCGTGAAGCCCATGAAAAGCTTCTCGAGCTACAGGGAGTTGGGCCCAAAGTGTCAGACTGTGTCAGTCTGATGGGACTAGGCTGGGGAGAGTCTGTGCCAGTTGATACTCATGGTGAGTTCTCTTGATAAGCTTTCTAATTTATCTCTAATCCTTTACGACAGTGTGGCAAATCGCGCAGCGAGACTACCGATTTGGAAAAAGCTCCAATAAGAACTTGAACAAAACGACCTATGATGCTGTTGCCAATCACTTCCGCAAGCTTTGGGGCAAGGAGGCTGGATGGGCTCATAGTGTGCTTTTCACTGCAGACCTGCGGACCTTTGCAGACAAACTTGCTGCAACCAAGAAGGTTGATGTCAAAGTGAAAGGCGAAGAGCCTGATATCAAGGTCGAGACAAAAGTGACAACTGCTCTCTCTTTGAAGATTCCTAAGGAGGAAGATATCGATGTGAAAGTCAAGGTGGAGGACATAGATGATGCTAAGAAGCCCAGCGGCAGGAAGCGAAAGGAAGCCGAGAACATTGTTCCTATTGCTCAAACAACAGAGACACGGAGAATGTCCAAGCGACTAAGGCGCTGAGAATATTAGAGACCGGAGACTATTCTGACTACTACATTTACTGCGGGAAAAAAAACTCTGCGCATCTAATACTAGAGCGTTGCAAAGAAATCAAGTTAAGCCAAAGGCAATTGTACGATAGAGACAGAAGTCTAGTGTAATAAACATTTATATTTGTATTCAGTAATCTTGACTATATCAACAATGAATGCCTATAACCGTAGTTAGTATAACGGTCGAGCAACTCATAACAAAAGTCTTGAAGTTGAAAGAGGTTGATCAGAAGTCCAGGTAGATCATCGAGCTAGCATCCGAAAACACTAGCTCTGACATAAGAGGTACCAGAAAATAAAGTAATAACAAATGCGTTGTATCATCATGTGGGAAGTTCGGAAATTGAGAAAAAAGAGCTGTAACTGACCTGATATTGTAAGTGGCGATAGAATGAAAGGCGTGTTGAGGTGTAAACAATACAAATTCCACTCAAGTTGAACCAGAAAACATTAATTCCAGTCAACTCAAGTGTGAAATTGAGATTGTTGGTTGTTGAAGTTGGAACAAAAGCAGAAGGGAAACGAAGTGAAGTTTTGTCGAAGAAAAGAAATAAGCGAAGCCGATCACGTGACCCCACACAGGCCCCATCTTTCCCGTCCACACTCACACCCTCTCTCACTTCTCGATTTTCGATCTTTCATCCACGCCGACAACCGACCAGATTTCCTCCGCCGGACACATCACCAATCCAAAATGGGTCGTCTTCACAGCAAGGGCAAGGGCATTGCCTCTTCCGCCATCCCCTACTCCCGCGCCGCCCCCGCGTGGCTCAAGACCACTCCCGACCAGGTTGTCGACCACATCTGCAAGCTGGCCAAGAAGGGTGCCACTCCTTCCCAGATCGGTGTTGTCCTCCGTGACTCCCACGGTGTTGCCCAGGTCAAGATTGTTACTGGTATGGAAATCCGAGAACCGCGACCCTAGGAATTCGAGGATCGAAATTTTCTAACATTTTCGCGCAGGTAACAAGATCCTCCGTATCTTGAAGTCCAGCGGTACGACTCCCTCCGCCCGCATAATCACATCCCTTGGGTGAAGAGAGCGAACAATTTGTGTGGAAAAGCCTTTGTGTGTCGGTAAAAGAACCATTGGCTTCGAAGCGCAAAATGCTCGTCTCTCTCCCCGACACTGGTTCGCAGAAATGCACCAGCAATTAAGCCTCTGCTTGGTCAAGAACATCTAGACTGACAGAGAGATTTTGGAATACAGGCCTCGCTCCCGAACTCCCCGAGGACCTTTACTTCCTGATCAAGAAGGTAAAAACTTTTTCTCCCTCTTTTTTTTTTTCCTTCTCTCCATTCGTGCAGATTATGCTAACCTCGAATCATCCAGGCCGTCGCTGTCCGCAAGCACCTTGAGCGTAACCGCAAGGACAAGGACTCCAAGTTCCGCCTGATTCTCATCGAGTCCCGCATCCACCGTCTGTCCCGTTACTACAAGACCGTCGGTGTCCTGCCCCCCACCTGGCGCTACGAGAGCGCCACTGCCTCCACCCTTGTCGCATAAGCGCATTTTGGGAGGATGAGTGGTTGACGGAGGGAACCCATCGGATCGTCGTGATCGTCGTATCTGGAGGGTCTATCTTCTGCTAGATGCAACAAAAAAAGATTACGATTATTTGATACCCTGTTCATGAATGCTCTAGACTCCTTTCGTAGTTGTAGGCTCGGCTTGTAGATGCCCACATAAGTAAGTTTATAGTGCAACTGATGGCTAGCCAACTCGCGACAAAGTGGAGACTCGAGTTATATGACCCATGTGGTTAGTTGGGGCACTAGTAGATTAGGCTATGTATGTACGTTGTATGACTTTAAACAGACATATTTTCAAGAGCATGCATGTATAGACGTTGCTCACACATCACACTCAGCTCTAACCTCCCTCGCCACGGCATTGCAAAGCTCAACTTTAACACCAGCCCCCAATAAAATATGGATCCAAAGGCGCTGGGTATCACTCAGCCGATCATTCTCCGACTTCACCTCAGCGAACATCACCGTCCTCGTCTCATGATTCCAGAGGAACAAGTCTGGGATTCCTCCACCACGTTGCTGGTACTCCTGCGCCATAACCTTACAGATAGTAGCAAGTGCCTCTCCCCGGAAACACTGCACAATCTCAACTAAGTCATCTAGATCGAAAGACCAGTCAAGACCAACAGCGCAAGGCTGCGCCTCCCCTTCACGAGCATGGATCTCACGGACGATCCGCTCTGCATCCCCATTCGTGATCTCAACCAGCCGGTGATTGATCTCCGATGCACGAGACGGGTAGAAGACATCAGTATGGAGATCGAGCGGACAAGTCTGGAACGCAGTCTGGAAGACGTTGGGTACGTATGTGAACAGAATATCGTAGAAGAGGTAGCCGAACTATGTTCAAGATCAGAGTTAGCGCAATCTTCGGAATATTCCAATCCTGCTTTGTATGGGGTAAAGACTCACCAGTGTCCGCACAATCCCTCCCTCAGAGTGATACCCCTTCCATCCATGATCACGGTACCAACTCAGACACATACTCTCCACCCTACACTCGCCGCCCTCCCTCTCATCAACCCAAACAGTCGCTTTCCCCTTTCGCGGAGAATCACCCGTATCAATGCGGATACCCTCAATAGTCCGCTCGGCTGGCTTGCCTAGCATCACATGTCCGAAATCATGCTGCTCGCGCTTCACCACCCGCAGCGCCTTTTCCAGCTTCGTGATCCGCTTCTGCAGGTCATAATGAAAGATCAGATGGCACAGCGGGTCTTCCAGCCCGGTCTCACACGTCCGTAGCGCAAGTCTCTTCCAATGCTTGCGTTGGGCTTCTTCGCTGCGCCCATCTGTGGACGTAAGCGCCCACATGTAGTGTTCTTCTAGCAGTGCCTTGCGCTGATACCACGCACCACGCCGCGCAGCGTGGAAGAGGCGCTGAGCGAGAAGTTCCTCTAGCACCTCATGCTCGCGTTTGTGTTCCTTGAACCGGCCGAGCGGGTGAAGACTCTTGTGGATGATTCTTGTGAGCACCCATGCCGGCGAGAACCGGCGTAGATATGCGCCTTCGCCGCTTTCGTAGATGCTGTCTTCTTTCTTTTGCTCTTGCTCGACTAGCTCTTTCCATCGGGGATGGGACTTGTTGGCAAGGTCAATGATCTGTTGGAGGGAGTCGGTCGTGACTGGGCCGTTGGATTCAAGGATGTTGTCGATCGCGAATTGGATTTGTATTGCTGATTCAAATTCCAGTAGTGCCTCCCTAGACGAGAAGATGGAATTCGAGCGGCAGACGATATATTCGGGGAAGTTTCTTTTGGTCATTTTGGCCAGGATAATTGTGGTAAGGGACTTTTCGGTCCACTCGGTGGAACGATAGAATACCAGGTGCACTCGTTCGAAGAGAGTGCGAGGCACTGGCGAGATCCTGATACATCCACCCGTGTAGTCCAATATCTTCTGAGTGAAATGGCTATCTCTGTTGTTTGTGTCTTTGAGTCCTGTCTGGGTCTGGCTTGTTTCGCGAAGAGCCGCCAGCAGCTCTTTCTTGCTCTTGCCCTGGACCTTGGCCTCCTTTGCAAAGACCTTGAGTTCCTCTAGCAATAGAAGCGATGAAGCCTCTTCCAGCGTTGTGATCGCTTCTATGCCCTCTGCAAATTTGAACGTATCTCCAAGTTCTGAATCAGGCAGGGTCCGGTCCCGTTGTAGGTCTTCGGCAACAGAGAATAAATCCGAGATATCAGAGTAGTAGTTCAACCGGTTGATTCGATGCCAGGCAGAGGTCTTTCGGAGGAACAGTCGAACATACCTGGTCAAACATTAATCTCAACCATATCTCATCACGTTCTACGAAAAGACATACAGATACTGGGATTCGTAGGAAAGCCCCCGCCACTGCGTAAAGATTTCCATTTCAGCCTCGTTAAAGAGATGTGATTCCTCATCCAGCACAGTTTCCAATGCCAGGTTGAATGCATCCACATATATGGAGCTTTTGCCTTTCTGCCAGGCACCATCTCGTAGCCTCACATCTAATCCCATCTTAGTGTCATTCTGCAATGCCTCGTACTCCTCGATTGCGTCCTCGTCGGTCTTGATCGCAGGAAGGGAAGTCTCGAGTTCTGTTTGGCTGTTGGTAATAATCCTTAAATCGTCCACAGCGGGGGTTTCCCCGGCTGTGACTGAAGGACTCGGACTCGGTGGTGGTTTAATCTCTGTGTCTGTACTAGAATCCTCTTTTTCAAAAGTCCGCCGACGTTTCGCGGGACGCTGCGTCTCCCAAAAGTTCAGCAAGGACATGATCTCTCGTATCCATGAATGCAATCAGTCCCGATGACTCGAGTCTCCGAGTATAGGCAGACACGAACGACGTGTCTCGCGAACAGGTTTCAAACACGAGATCACGTGTGCGATATGACTCCATTGGGCTGTTTGTCCTGTTTGCATATGACATAGACAAAGAGGCATAAGGCAAACACATAAGAAAACGAACTTAACAAAGCCGATTTGAAAGAGAAAAAGAAAGAAATGTCATCTGAAGACCATTCGAAAAGTGCCTAAGTGCAATATTTAGATAAAAAAATGTCCTTACCAGTAAGTCCTAGCTCTCCCTCCCTCACAACGGATCGACACCTCCGAGCTCCACAGCTTCCGCTTCGCAAACATTCGCCTCCACTGTTGCAACGCCCACTTCTTCCCCAAAGCTACACCTCCCAGGCTCCCAATTAACCTGTGTAGCCTCCCACCCTCACGATCTCAGATCCACCCACCTCCTCAGCTCCTACGTCCACCACAGCGCCCCAACCAAAACCCACATCCACAATGGCCGAAACAAACGGCACTGGCTCTAACACGCCGCTTGGCGATTTGGGCAATATATCTGCGGGCCAGGTTCGTCCTGGTGGCGCACCTGCGCGCGTCTATCTCAATGAGAAGGTCGTCCCGTATCTGCTTGACGGGATGAAGTCTGTTGCGCGCGAACAGTGAGTGGAGTACTATGGCTAGCTAGCTAGCTTTTCTATACTGGTCTGCTGGATGGCTTTACTGATCTCTTTGTCTTTCTCTTTTTGCGCCAGGCCTGCCAATCCTCTCCGTGTGCTCGGCGAGTTCTTGCTTCAGAAGAGTAATGAAGTGGAGGGCGAGACTAAGAAGGAGTCGGAGTAGAAAGGAACCTTGGAAGGGGGATATGATTTCTTGGGCGTTTGATGGTGCTTGATCGGCTGTTCTGGGATTGGATTTTTTTTTTTACAATGGCTTTTTTTTTTGTGAAGCCATTGACGACTCGTTTTAAAAGCTTGTGAGTGGACTTTGATGTACACCAAGACGTTCATCATATGATACCCCGGTCAATGTCTACGCCTGTTATGCTAGTAAAATCTTAAGGTTTAATAGTAGAAAAGAAAGATAGTGAGAATGATATTTCAAAAGCGAGGTGGTGATTTTTAATCTAGCGAGTGTGAAACTACTGGTATAAAACTCGAGGATATATGTCTCCGGTAAAGTAGACTATAAAACAATATATGGGAAGTAATTTTGTAGGAATTGAGCTTTCCACGGCATGTATCGACACTTTGCAGCTCTTCTAGCTATAAGACTAAGAAGTGTGAAGAACATCTATAAATATATCTAAGAAGGCAGTATTTGTGATTCTAAATAGTGCATTGGACACCCCTAATACCAAATCAAATAGGCCAGAATATTCAAGCCCTACATCCTCAAGGATAGAGACTACATAAGTGGCCGATTCTACTTGGGAAATTATATAGATACCAGAGTGAGCTTATAGGAGGCCAAGGAACAGAAATGCCCTTGTGTTTGAGGATATATTATTCTTTGTTAAAGACTTAAGCCTCATTGATCAAAGAAAATCCACACGGCCCTGGATTCAAAGACACGGAGTGGGTTGGACAAGTGGCTGACTCAAGAGGGGACCATGGGATGCTCACAATCCTCGAAGTAATATGAGTATCATGCTGGAGCACCAGAACAAGCTAAGGTCTTGTAGAGGGCAGGGCGAATGGAACCATCCAAAAATGGAACCCGATATATATATATATTCAAGTTTGGAAGCTTCATAGAGATTCCTAGATGGGATAAGTACAAGTACCTTGTCTTACCCCGACCAAATATTCGGGGAAGAACAAAGGATTCCAAAAAAAACCTAGATGGGTCAGCTTGCGAGACACACCTCACCTTTAATGGCATTGTCGATATTCCAAATTGATTAATGCCAGGAGTTTTAAAGGTTGAAACTACAAGCGCAAAGTCGACAGCTTTGAATTGGGCGAATGGTTGATCATTCAGTTGTTTAGAGAAGTCGAATACAATCGAGCCGTTACTGGAGATGGTGTAGAGGTGAAGTTGTAGCTGTAGCTGTGTGACGAATTTGCTGACCCTGAGATAACCGAATTACAGCGCATAATTTTCTGTCCCTTTGCCGCTAAAAGTTTTTTTTTTCCCGAAGTTGCGTCGCGAACAGACATAAAAGAGACACATCATCAAGCGACCGAAGTGTGCACCGATGAAGTTGCCGAGTCGTGGCGCTCCGTTTTTTTTCCCTTTTTTAAAAAATCGTCGAGCCGAGAGCAATTGACAAACAAAGACAGCGACGCCCCGCGGCCCGTCGCCCAAATCCCGCATTAAAACAATCCCAGAAACAAAGAAAAGGGGGGAGGAAGTGGGCAAGTTGGTGAAACATGGGAACCAGGAACCAGGAGACATCAAAGGCCAGTCTCTGTCCTGGTTAGAAAACAAGGGGAGGCACTTTACCTGCCAGCGTACCGATCCTCGCCGCCGCCGCCGCCGCCGCCGCCGCTGCCACCGCCGCCAGGAGCACCACCGGTGCTGCTGCGTGCTTGGCCTTCGTAGGAACGTCCACCACCACCAGTGTAGGGGTCACGAGCCTCACGGGGAGGGCCGGCAGCATCGAAGCTAGGAGGGTTGGCATCACGGTCGTAGTAACCACCACCGCCGCCACCACCGCTGCCGCGAGATTCCTCACCACCTCCACGACGTTCATCACGGCTGTAACGGTCATCACGGCCACCGCCGTAGCGGTCACCACCACCACGGTATCCGTAGTCGTCACGCGATTCGCGGCGACCACCATACTCACGGCCACCGCCGCCGCCACCACCACCACCGTAGTCACGACGGCCATAGTCACGTCCGTAGTCACGGCCATAATCACGGCGATCGTTGTAAGAGTCGTAGCGACCGTAGCGGGAGTAGTCATCATCGCGACGACGCCAGCCGCCACCGGAGGGGCCACGGCGATCATCGTAACGGTCACGGCGGGGACCACCTCCACGACCACCACCACCGGGACCACCGGGGGGACCACCTGGGCCATCTGTAGAAGGGAAATGTAAGCTGACTTGCAAGGCGCAAGGGGAAGGGATGATGTAACTTACCACGCTTGGGAGGACCAAAGTACTTTCCGGGAGTAGGGGTACGAGGACGGGCACGACGAGCTTTCTCGATGCTCAGAGTGCGACCTTCAATGACCTCACCCTGGAGACCCTCCTTGGCGGCATCAGCCTGCTCGGCGGTGACCATGTTCACGAAACCGAATCCACGGGACTCCTTGGTGTGAGGGTCCAGCATGATAGAGCAGTTATCGACATCGCCGTACTTTTCAAACAGACGCGAAATATCAGACTCGGTCAGGCGCGGGTGAATACCAGTAACAAAGAGGTTAGAGCCAGAGTTGATGGCACCTTCATCGTCTTCCTCGATAGGCTTACGAGCCAGAGGAGCTCTGTGGGTTTGTTAGATTTGAATTGATTCACCAGACCACACGAATAAATACCTCTCGTCAGAGCGGCCATTGGGGGAGCGGCTGCGAGCACGGTCGCGGTCGGCACGAGGCTCATCGCGAGGAGAGGCGCTGCGCTCGCGATCATATCGAGGCTCGTCTATTGAAAAAGGGTAAATATTTTCAAGCGCATCGAAATAATTCTAAAAAACGTACCCGCGTAGCGGCTGGAATCGTTGTCGTAGTCCGCCATGATGAAAGGACCGAAGGTGTAGGTTGGAAGAAGGAAGAAAGAGAAGTTGGAAAGCTGATAAGAGCGGACGCTAAGCACCGGGAAGTACACACCCGAGGAATCAGGCAGCTGTGCAAACCGCGTGGAATTTTGGTTGAATTTCGTGAATTTCGTGACTTTGGGGGGAGTTTCGAGAAGAAAAATCAGAGATTTCTTTTTTCTTTGAAAAATGCGACTTCATGCAGGGGGTTAATTTGACTATCACAAAGAGCTATTATGCCAAGACCGAAGCAATCGCCATATTAAAGCTTTATTAGCTATAGAACTAGTACAAATACTCATACAAAACTAATTCCTTAAAATTGGAATGCGCTAAAATCAAATTCGTGAACCCCATACGAATCATATACAGAAAGTAATCATCGTGAACCTCGCAAACGTCGAGTCCGACGGGGATTCTGTTGTGAAGCAGCTGGGGTGCGGGTGGCCTGGCCCTTCAGGTCTCCATCATCAACCAAGTCCTTCAACCCTTCGAGTTCATCCTCATCCAGTTCGCTGAGTTCTTCACTCATTCCGCGCATGACATCCCGTCCAGTCCACCGTTCCTCGTGGACAGTTGTACCGACAGGGTCAAATGGTTGCATGTACCATTGAATGCCACCCAAAGCCAAAGGTAACTGCTGATCTTGCTCGGTGAGGACAGGCGTTGGATGTCGATAGTAGGTGGGAACACTCTTCATGGTGTCTTCAGCAGGAGTTAGCTCTTCTGCTTCAGGGAGTTGTTCATCTGTAGGCTGGGCTTCCGATGGAAGCTCTGTCGTAGGAAGTGTCTCTTCAACTCCTTCCATAGCATCAGGGTGACCAAACAGCTCAGTATCACCTTCCGGCTCAACAGAATCACCACTACGTGACATCAAACTGTGGTCAAGAATCACATCCAGCTCCTTCAACTCCTTCTCGAATGGTTTGCGGTTGAGTTCGCTTTCTTTCCTGATCGCATCCTCCAGGGAAGGCTGAATGACTTTGATTATCCGTTTTGCCAATTTTCTCTTCTCGCGTTGCTCCAAGCTGAGCTCCGGGGCGCGACCACTGATCTGGGCTTGGAGTTCCGCGGTATCGCCAGCGGGCTCCACGCCGATTTCTGAGGTGAAAAGACTGGCCAAATCGGAAGAGAAGGCAGCAACAGACGGATAGAATCGTTCGTTGAGCCTTTGTCGGATTGACATCAAGCCTGCTGCAAACACGCCTTTTCCATCGAGCCTGGAATAAAGTCAGTATGAGTGTTGGAAGAGATAGGACAAGTATATCTTACAGTTGAGCTTTCTCGAAGATTGGCCACAGCAGTGGAAACGTAGGGAAGTAGACAAGATCGACAATGTTACGGAGCATCTCTGCATCCTTCAACTTCTCCCTCTCCCGTTTCTTCACTTCGTCACATAGCATCCTCAATCGATCGAGGTCCTTGTAAAGTCGCTCACCAAACTCAATGCGACGTTCCAGGCGTTTGTGTCCGGGAACACCCATTGCGACATAGTCTCTTCGTGTCATTTCCATAGATGAGAAGGTCTCCAACTGCAACTGGAGTCGCTTGAGCAATGCCGCTCCACGTCTCGCCTCTCGTTTCAATGTCCAATACTTGGATGCATCCTCGGCATATTGCTTTCTTTGGCGGACCGTGAATCGCCCAAGAGAAGCTATCACTGAGTTTAACACAACTTGGGGGATGACTGGGGCACCGGAGGGCAGCTTCCAGATTGTTCTGGGAACACGTTTCCGTTTATTGCCACCTACTGTTAATGTAAGGCGAGGAGTGAGCGTGCGGTCCTCCTCTCCTCCATCACTAGGGTGCGCCGGGCCCATCGAGAGTGCTGCGGCCTGGCTGTCTCCCCATCGTCTACCTTGCATGGTATCGCGGTAATACTCGATGGCATCGGCAGTTGCAGCATCAGTGCCATGCTCCAATCGCCAGTCAGGGGGGACGTGCTTGTCACAGAAAGCCTTGAGAAGGTGGGAGTCCATAAGACCATGGCCAATCTTCATCTTCAGATAAAGTTGAGCTCTGCGTGCACATGAGACATGAAAGGCTACAAAGCAGTTTTTGTTGCTGCATTGAATGGATGCACCCATCCGCTGTTTGCAGATGTAGCAATTCAATTTCCAACGGCTGCGTGGAACCTTTTCGACATCGGTCACCGGCTCCATAAGAGATGGATTACCAATAGAAACTTCAGGGATCCAGAAAGAGCAGAGTAGATGAGCCCATTTAGATGAGGTCGTTTGCTTAAATGCACCCTCAGTGTTTGGGCAGAAAATACAATTGGTGGAACCTCTTCCCAGCAACTGGCACTTGCGGCAAAGCCACTGGCCTTCTGGGATGAAAGGAACACCATAACACTCCTGATGCACTGCAAGGTCGCAACCATCGCAGAAAACAATTGCATTTGAGTTTTCACAATCGCCATCATCACAGATAGCACACTTGCTGTCTTGCTCTTCGCCCGGTCCAGCAGTCTCGCCATTGACTGCAGCTGCAGAGCTAGAGCGAAGGCGCCCGGTCTGTGGGGGTTTGGGATTCGGCTTAGGGATGCGCTTCTCAAGGGCATGCCACTCCCTCTCGATTTTGGTCATGGTAATCTCAAACACTGCAGGCTTAATGGGTTCAAGCTGATCTTCACGGCGCTTGGCGTTGTATTCTTCCAACCATTTTTCGTCCTGCTCATCCATGTCATATTCGACACGTCCAATTGTGGTGTTAAGGTCTCCATCTGTCGTGGTAGGTTGAATGACATCGAGGTCATCTTCTTGGGTGCCTTCAGTCATTCGGATAAATCGCCGGTCATGGCGAAGGAAGAGATCGCTCTCTTGGTATCCCACATTTGCCATGGTCCGGTCGACATAGTTTTGATGACCGACACCCTTCTTCTCATAGAATGTGAAAGGGTCACGCAATCTGAACGACGGCTTGGGTAGTGTTAGTTTCTCGCGGGGGTTGGGGCCTGGTGGCGGTATAATCTTTTGTCCTTGCTGGGCAAGAAGGGCATTGAGGATGGCCTCGGGGCGACGAGGGGGGCGGCCAGGCCTGCGTTTGATTGGGATTGGAGAAGCCATTTCACCTGATATGATGACTGGCGATCCTGCAAGGTCTGAGACTGTCGCACCAGCCAGCGACTCCAGGCTCAGGATAGGAGTAGAGGTATCTGGGGCATCGACCTCTTCAGACGTGAAGACAGCAATTTTGCCATCAATGTCCAAGTCGGGGTGGAACTCCTCCCACCCGCGTTCTTCCCGTGGCTTGTATCCATCGCCTTGTTGAAGAGCAAGAGCGGCGGCTGTGGAAGAGGTGAAACGACCGCGCGTTTGGTTCTTGTCGCGCCTTGGACGCGACATGGAGGGTGGTGTTGTTGGTATGATGGGAGGTGGCGGTGGAGGGGCTAAGAATGGTTGGTCCATCTCACGTGGTAGACGGCTTCGAGCACTTGCGGAGTGGCGTCGGGGAGTATTTTTCTTGGGGGTTTCTTGGGCGGCGGCGGCGGCAGCAGCTGCAGCTGCAGCGTCGAAGTCGATAAATCTTCCTCCTCCTCCGGGGCCACCTGGAACGTACTTTCGCTTCTTTGAAGGAGGGCCGTCAGGGGAATCGAAGGAGCCGCTGTTGGGTGACTTGAGAGATGACCTAGGTTTACTGCGTGATGGACGACCAGAGATTGAATGTCGGACCGTCGGTGCCATAATTTAAGAACGAGCTTTCGGGTGTGTATGTTGCTCGTTGGGGATGTTGATTGTTAATCGGACGGCGTCAGGTCGCGTTCGGAGGCCGACTCAGGCAGGGCCTCGGGAAAGATCAAAGTCGCAGTCTCAAGTCATGCGACAGCAAACTAGAAACGAATGGACACAATGGACGCAAAGGACGCCAGAGCCCGTAGAAGCTGCAAGGCGCGCGATGAGGTGTTTGGTTATCTGGTCAAGGCGGAGACACCCGAGCTGTCTGGGCCTGTTGGCCTGAGGCGCCAATCTGGACTTTAAGCACCTCCGCAGCTTGACATAGGGACATGACATCCACAGCTGTTCCTTGCGAGCTATTTACGACTTTATTCCTTCGATCGAACTTTGATTTTTCCATTTTACATAGATTTACAATATGAGCGGTTCCAGCGACAACAAGTACGCGTTATGCACCCCAAAATATCACGCGCTTCACCGTCGCTAACTGTTATTGCCTTCCTCAGATGGCGGGGTGGACCCAGTCGCCAGGCGTCGCAGCGCAACTCGAACAACCGTGATAAAGCAGGAGGACATGGAAGCGCACGCGATAACAATGCTGCTTGGGGCGCATCCAACCCTCCGCAGGAACAGCATATCCCTGTACGGGGCTTCAACAACGCAGAGGTTAAGAACGTTTTGAAGGGTATGTATATACACCTAAGTTGCAGGTACAAGGGCTGACCAAGCTTCTACGATACAGCAGGGCCTCAGGGTACGTCTTATTGCCACCTCCATCTCTACTCAAGCCTAACCCATGCGCCATTGATACAGAAACCAAGTTGTCGATAGCCTACAAATCTCATTCTAAAGACGGTCCTACCCAACGATCTACTGCCTGGGGTGCCAAGGGTACAGTCTCCCTTCGATCGCAGGATGCCTATGAACAAACAATAACCATATTTACAGCGCAAAACATGGCGAACGGGAAAGACTTCTTCCTAGAGCTTCGAAAACAGATTGCCTCGCTGCAGCGAAGCGGTCCCCCCGTCGGCGGCTGATCGTCACAATTATGACTTCATTATCTCAAAGTACTTGCATTGCACAGTCGGCGGGTCGCGAGTTTGGTTCGTTTTCATGGGTTGCAACGGCGCATCTTCGATACCCTACTGTGGAGGATGCATGGGTGATGAGTGGACTTGGAGGTTACATGGCATCGGCGTCTCTGATGATTCTGGGTCTTACATGTCCATAATGCACTATGACTCCTTTTTTCAAAAATTTATTCATTACGATTCATCCACTGCATCAAGAAATCTATGGGGATGAGATTGCATTATTTTACAGGCGCTATTATACAGAGAGGGTATGTCACTAATATACAAGCAGGAAGCCATCCAACTACGATCATCGCTCTTGGATCCAGCCTCCTGGGCCAAGGATACCTCCATCATCAGCACGTGGGTCGAGGGTCCATTTCCGTATAGGACGACAGCTGAGGTCAGATCGGAAGCCAGCCTCGAACATCTCAATGCCCGCCCACCCAATCATGGCCGCATTGTCGGTACACAAATACGGAGGCGGAGCAACGATCCTGATATTGCCAAAACCGCGCACTTCCAAAAATGAAGAGAGCACTTTCATAAGGAACTGGTTGGCGGCAACACCGCCACTGACAACAAGGGTTTTGATCTCATCCTTGCCAGTATTATGCGGCCGCAGAGTCTCTAGAGCGATAACAGTGCGTGAGGCAAGATGCTCAAAACAGACGCGCATGGCTTCCCGGCCTAGATCGACACGCTCTGCATCTGATATTTTAATATTCGTACTGTTTCTTTGAACGATCTTCCCAACCATGCTCGAAATCGAAGAAAAGCTAAACTGCAAGATCCGCGTATTGGCAAATGGAGTCGTAAGAGACCAGCCCCAATCGCTAATGCGCTTGGCTATTTCTTTACCCCGAGAGTCTGGTGCCGAGTAATCCTCAAAATCGGCCTTGCCATTAGGGAAGACGAATTGCTCCAGACTCTTGCCGTACATGGTGCTTTTAGCTTCCTGGAGCAAAGACTCTGGTAGGATATCTCGTGCCGATTTATCGAGCGCCTCCCCAATAGCTATATCTTCGCTTGTAGCGAGGATCCTATGATCTGTGAGACCCTTGGAATGAACCAGAGTTGTATGACCGCCAGAGACGAGAATGGAAAGGAAAGGGAATTCCGGCGTTGTTGCGGGTGGGTCGGCCTTGGCTTCATTTTCCAGGCATGATACGAGCCCTGGTGTCAAAAGATGTGCCTGCATGTGGTGCACTCCGACCATGGGGATCTGCCATGCAACCGACAGCGCTTTTCCAGTGTCGAGGCCAACGGATAGGTTTGACCGCATTCCGGGGCCTCTTGTGGCGGATATGAAATCGGGGATGCGGCGACGAGTTCCATCCGCCAGTTTAAGTCCATCGCCTGTTTTCGACTCCGGTAGGTAATTGAGGGCTTTCTGTACGAGGTTTGCGAGGTTGTCTTGGTGGGATTCGAGGGCGATGATAGGGTGAATTCCGCGATGCGCGCGCGTGTCTGCAGTTACATTTTCAAGGAAATGGATTTTGGCTGCGCTTCCGGAGTCTTTCTTTGTTTTCTCGACGATAGCTACTGACGTATCATCACTGTTGTCGGCAACCAATTAGTTGAGTGTTTTTCTTTTCGGATGGGCGTCTACCTCCGCTTACCATGACGTTTCAATTGCCAACGTGAGCAAGCCACGGCGGGAGATCAAACATCTCCTTGCATTTAACGCCGATCTGCAAAAAGTCGCAGCAGGAGTCGCTAAGAATAACATTGGTAAGATGCTTGACATACGACCGGCGACAGGGGCGAAAAAGATCGGACGCGCACGGGCCGGAGAAGCCCTCAAATGGAGCCCTAAAATAGGTACCAAAACAGCAATCTATAGTGATCTACGGAGTACGGAGAGCTCTATTGAATACTACCCACGAATGTTGAACTTACTTGCTAGAATGTCAGTATAGGGTTGAAGACACCATTGTATTTGCAGTAACGAACGGCTAGGTTAAAACATTTGTGCTCAAAAAAAAAATCAAAACCATCAATCCAGGTCCCATCATAACGTCATAAATATATTGTTCCTCCAAAACACTGATACATCGTTTTCACTTCAAGAACAGAATGTGTGGTGTGCATCAAAGGCCGAGTCAGCCCACATGAATGATACTGACGCATTCGGAGCCAGCGAAAAGCGCGAGAGGCAGTCATCATCCAGAAAGCACCTCGAGACATGCCGGATGAACACTTCAATCCGCTGTTCTGTCATATTTAGGCTCATCTTGCAGTTCGAAGACGTCGGTTGTCGGGGGCGCGAGGAGCTATGCGGATTGAGGTGATCAACAAAAGACCTAGGGTGCAGGACATGGCATCATTGCAAAAGCAATATTTAAACCCCGAGTCATTCAGAAGCACCTGGTTGCTCCCCATTACTCCAGCCATGAACGGTCATAGGTGATACATATATTGAACTTGATCTCACTGTCGAACCGTCCATCGCCGCTCTTCTCGTGACATCTTCATGTAATTGCCGTAATATTCGTCCGGGTTCTCAATGGGCGTCACACAGTGGACAGTTGGTGTCACTTTGAATTGTATACGCTTGTCAACATTGGCAGCGCGCGAGGACGACTGCTTCTTGAGGATGCTCTTCGATGAGCAAGAGTTTGTGTATGCATAGCTTGGAACTTGCAGTGAGCAGAATCTCTTGGTGGTCGGGCTCGCCGCGGAGATTGGCGAGACAGGCGTACGAGGAAGAGCAACTGGTGACTTGAGCGACAATGTTGGCCGAGGAGCATTCTGCACAGCAGAGATGCTCAAGGACAGCTTTGGCTTGACGACACGGGCAGTAGTGGTGTACATTTTGACGGATGAAGAATCCACAATAGTCGAAGAAGTTTAAAACAACAATGTAGTTGATGTTAATTGGTTTGGGTTTTCACTGGGAAACTTTGATCAACAAAGATATCCGAGTAGGCAAGGAGAGAAACGAATTATTGACGTAGATGTAGAAAGGAGTTGAAGAACTTGGGCCAGCCAAGACACAGGACGAAAATAGAAGAGGCAAAAATAGAAAAAAAAATAGGAAAATCTCAAACAATATGCAAAACAGAGTCTCCTGGGGGACAGATGAGGGCGGCTATATACACTTGAGGGGGAGAGGGGAACCAACGGAGGCAAACCACCTTCTTCTGCCTAAGCGCCCACTCTATGCACGACGGGGCACAAATCACCGCTATCACACTTAAGTTTCTAACTTTGGAAAGCTTCCGTCCCATTCAGCCAATTAAAAATACTCACAGAGTGGAATCCCCATCTAGTGTGATGTGACGGATGTTAGGGTTCGATGTGGGGGGTCCAGCCCTGCAGCCCACTGCACTTGGAACCACATTCTGGTCTTCCTGTCAATTTGATTCGAAACTTTCGACCGACTATCACTCAGTAGGTGAGGAAGATCGCACTCGCATTAAGTGGATTCCTGCACTGCTAGGTGATAACCCCGCATTATCACTGTGATTGGCAGCCATAGCGAAAGCTGATTGGTTTGAATATTGGCAGGATTGTTGCGACGTACTATAATTAGATATCACATGGAGTTGATGCCTCTGTAAACTATTTTTACTCTTCAAGATTGCGCGATAAAAAAATATATCCTTGAACATCCTTAGACTGAGCTCAAATACACAGTGAATGCAGCTGTAGCACTGTTGGTCACATTTTGTTGTGGCTTTTTTGGGTGGCCAATTCACCTCCAGTCCTTACAATTTAATGCTCATCTATGCTACATTCTTCTTGCGTGATCGTCCTAGTGACTATATTTCCTAGGTTTGCAAATAGAGCGCGTATGCTGTACGGTGTAGTGCTCGAACATGTGCTCTATTTATAGAAAATGCCTCTAAAATTAACAACGCATATGGAGTAGTTTACATATATGCCTGCATGCATTTAATTGATTAGGACAACGCCAGGGGAGGAAGTGTTTGATTTTTATGAGACGAGCGATTAGCTCTATCCAAGTATATGGACTTTTGGCTGGACCCGGGATTGGGCGATAAGAATGATACCAACAGCAGATATGCAGGATAAGGACGTGGGACAAACATGCTAAGAAGAGAAGAAACAGAAAAATTGAAATAAAATATGGAGGCTTGGTTAGTTTACTGGGCATTGTAATCATCGGAAGGGGAGGTAAAGCTTTGATTTGTTTAGGCTCTTGAGGTGGGGTATGGAGCTGTGATAAATGGATATGAAGAGCCAGGCTGAGATAGATGTTGTAAGTCACTCGATATTATAGGAGGCATACACATACTATCTTTGTTCCTTGAAAGAGGGAAGCAAGGCGAACGAAGGTGGGGTTTTTGATAAAAGACAAAACTCAAGGTCCGAATCGCTCATGCTCGAGCTTCCGCCTGAGAAAAAGGGCTTCACGGACGTCACCCTGTGCATCATAACATGTTTCATGATCAAGGAGATGCATTTATCGCCACAGCCCTTGAACCCAGTCACCTCGTCAGAAGACCGAGAAGACCCGATCAAGTCCCTAGGGAAAACTCCCCACGAACAATATCTCAACCATTTCAACCTGGGGATTCCAATCCATTGGGTATCAGCCACAATCATTCGCCTTCAATTATCGAAGTCATGGGTCTCGGTGCATTCGCAACTTTCATCCTCAGACCTAGGCGAGCCGCAATCACAATACAAAGATTCGGTGTTTCGCACTGCTATTGAACTTATCGAATTCGCATACTTCCTGCAGACCAATAATTTATCCCGCACAATGGGGCTGGCTCTGCAGGAGTTACAAGCAAACGGAGACTATTTCTTACATTCTCGACGAGTTAAACTCTCGCCCACCCGGCCCTGGGACGGATCGTGCCTGGGAAGTGGTGACCAAAACAACTTCCCTGTGGAGACAAAGTCCCCCAGACACAGATAGTGAACCCGAAACTCCTTTGGCTGAGCTGATCTAGCGTGCTGATCTGTACGAGAAGGGGAACAAGAAAGACAGTCGGAAATTGGCAATTTAAATGTGCGGGTTGGCCGGAGATCTTGTATTGGGGAGAAACTGAGCCCCAAGTCGGGGAATGAAACTTTCAACTCCGAGGATCGTTAAGCTTATATGATCGGGCCGGTGGGGCACGGGTAGTCTGATTCTTGCTTATCAGCAGTAGGGTGGAAATCCTCCAAAATCCGGGTTGAGTTCGATCGAAGTATATTTTTAGCCATGTACGTGTGCCTTCAGCTAAGAAAGCCCTCCACGGCGGAAGGCAATTGAGGGCTGTCTGGACTACACGAGCACTACACACAACGAAAACATGAAGTACGTAACACCAACATGATCCCCAAGATCGTCCTCATAAAAGGAGAATAAAGTCAAGAGTCCCTACCAAAGATAGCTACAAAAAGTTACAGCAATTAATTCTAAAGTACGACTAAGTGAGAATACCTCAAGATATTTCGCTTTAGGGGCGTCGAAAGCAAAGCAGTGTGCTTCTTCTTTGAAAATTTGTTGTCTAGCTACCAAAAGTTTCCAAGTCTGCTAATTTACTAAAGCGATTCTTTGCTTTGCTCCAAGAAATCCTTCCAAGTCGTCACTCGATAACCAGACTTTTCGAGCAGTTTGTGACTCTCCTTCAAACTGCGGCCATTGAAATAACCCGGGTTCTCAACAAACAAGTGATTCTCCAACATCTCCTCTCCCATCGGACCGGGAATAAAACTCTTGTAAGTGTCACTGTCCACCTGAACAAACTGGGTTTTCTTTCCAGTGAGCGACTCGAACTCGGCAAGTATACGCGTAGGGGAGTAATAGTCAGCCGCTGCCAAAAGCTGGAGACCAAGAACCTCGGACCGGTTTTTTAAGGCCGCTGCCACATATTTGCCTGTCCACCTCGATATGTTAGCCTTCTCAATCTTCAAATTCGTGATGAAAATGTATTTTCACGTACCCATGTCGCTAGCAATGTCAATAAGCGGGAATTGTGCGTCTTTGCCGACAGGGTAGGCCAAGTTGTAAACATCGTCGCTGTCCTTGCGCAGCATTCCAAATACAGTGTAGTTGGTCATGAAGTAACCTGGCAGCACAAAGGTGGCTGGCACACCAATTGACCGAATATACTCCTCGACCTGCGCCTTGTGATCGAAGTGAGGGACATGCTTAAGGCGACCACCCGATGTCTCTGTGACGTTGAACAAAGACGAGAAAATCAGATGCTGTACGCCAGCCTCCTTTGCTGCATCAGCAACATTCTTTCCATGTACCAGCTCAGCATCGGAACCGGCATTTCCCCAGTCCGGAGTGGTCACAAGGAAGACTGAGTGACTGCCCTCCAATGCCTGAGCCAGTGACTCCTTTGAGTTCATGTCGGCCTTGAGAAACAGAGTAAATATCGGGTTTATCTCTTCATCGTAGTGAATAATGAAATCTTACGGTCTTGACCTCGATGCCCTGCTTCACAAGAGCTTGAGCGGCCGGCTTGGATGCATCACGAGTGATGCCCCGAATATTGAACTTCTGAGAGAGGCTCACATCCTGCAGAATAGTGCGAATGACAGAGCCGCCTTGCTGTCCTGTAGCACCGAAAACTGCAATAATTTTAGTCATTGTTGATTTTGTGGTAGGTGGGTTTGGTGATTGCAGCTTGATTCTATGAGAACGATAAACTGTGAGTGCTGGCTTGGAATTTATAGTGTGAAATAGCCTCTAGCTGTAAATCAGTCGGAACTCGGAGTCTATAGTACCGATGATTAATAAGAATAAGGTGGCAGATGGTTTCTTGTTGTCTAAGCGTGCCAACCTGTATGGGATTGCTTGGTAACTAATCTACCATCGGGTTTAATCTCACTTCCGATAATGCTAATACTTCCGTGATATTATTACAGTAATAAACAATAAACTGACTAGTTTACTAATTTCCTATGATTCATGACTGATTTCAATTGCAAGATATTGCTTCATTGGTTAATGGTTCCCCCTTATGCCCATGCCAACGACATAACTGTAAAAACTATGAACGCCACCACCATAAGAATAAGCAACAAACAATAAGCTCCACTCAAAAACCATTATTGATAATTGGCCTAATTTACAAAATTATCTCAAGTTTTCCGCGCATTCATGACCGAAGCGGAAATGACAGGGGTCGGGCTTGACTCAAGCCCGGGGCCGGCTGTAGAGCTTTACTCAGCGCGGGGTTCAGATGAAGTCCGAAAGTTAATGATGACGTACGAAAGGGTAGGATAGGATCTTATGGAGTCAATATTTTGATAAACTGAAGAGTCAATTGTTTACGTTGAAGCAGATGTAACAGTTGAATAATTCAATCATATGAGTTTAGTATGACTAGCTGGGACCTGGACGGAGGCATTATTATCCGGACCTAGAGTTCAAAGGGGATCAAGCTTAAACATATCAGATCTAATAGCAGCGATATATATTGATTTTCTCTTTTCTCTAATGATATAGCTCTCAAATTTCTATTGTAGCAAAAAGTACATATGTCTTCTTAGAATCACTGTTGAATCCTCTCAAAGTTTCAACTTTGATCTTTTGTTAAGCATATGAGTGACATTAATTTTACCTCTGCCTAGGTACTGTCCTTGGGTAGTACTGTCGGGTGTAATGATTCTAACTCTTTACCTTGTATGGTTTTTGGCAGGGAATAGCATTGAAATTGCAATGGATCGTTTTGCTATATGATACATCGTATGCAGTTACCCCATATTAATTGCCCCAATGTTGTCCGGCTTGGCTCCCGGTGAATCGTTTCTTGAGCTTCCAAGGTTCAAGGCCTAAGCTCAAAAAAAGTACCTTCAGAGGAGTTTCGGTGCTATAGCTACACCGCTACGTATCGCTACCTATAACGTATGACTTTTCAGTGATCTCAATATATATATATATATATATAGTGTTTATATATATAGTGAGTAGTAGCTGCCATATTTTAATCTCTCCAACTCTACGGAGGTGTACATGAAATTTGCGTTCTTGCGTTTTGAGAACAATGCACTTGAGCAGAATAGAAGTCGATATTTACAACATAGAAACATGAACATAGCCATCCTAGTCGGTCAAATGCCATAGTCATATCTGATTGCAAGAGAGTGCGGAGAAAAAGGGGATATAACGGTACCGGAGTGCTCCGTACATAAAACCCGGAGTTGAGCCGAGTCTGGAAGGCCCAGGAGAGGGGAAAAGATGAAGTTGACCAATGGATATGGAATTCTCCAAATTCTTGTTCCCACTGAACTCCGCACCGAACTCGGAATCCTTTTGGTTTTCGTGTTTTCGTTAGAGACTCACCGGGTCCGAAATGGCCATGTGACAGGGATCAACTCCGGTTTCTTCCTCATTTTCATAAGTCACCTGCTGACTGTGCTTCTTTTTTTTTTTTGATTTGCCTCTGTGCCTGGATTATATGGTTGGTTTAGGTGCCTATATACCGTGGCTCATGGTGGCAAATATATGTCATTCCAAGGAAAACCCTGGATGAAAAGTTGTTTCTCGAACAATAAGAAGGACCATGAGGCTAATATACTGTAGGAACACTTTTATATTGTATTCCGAAGATACATGTATCTAGTAATGCGGAGATCGTTCGGTCCGATCTGCCCGGGTAAATAACGCCATAATGAAAAAAACAAGGGATAGTAAGAAAGAAAAAATCCAACGTGGCCACGGGTGTGTAAGATATCAATGGATATTAGATTAAATATCAAATCTACATACATATCTGAGAATACTCCGTACATAATTATCGATTGTAATATTTGTGAAGAGAAAATAAGCCCGAAAACTTTACCAAGTGGGCTCCTTTTATTATCATAACTTTTCTATTGACTCAAATCTCCCCTTCTCCACATCCCTCGATCCCTTCTTTCCCCCGGTTTTTTTCCCTTTTGTGCGGTGGATTTCTTTTTGTTTAGTACCCAAAAGTCAACTTGAATATACACAATGGCCAGCGTAACGGAAGCCGTGAAGGAATCCCTCCTGGGAAGCACAGAGGGGCCTCATTTGGCCCACCAAGCGCGCGCGAACTTTGTCCTCCATGCGCAGAAGGACGAGAATGGTGACCTCTTCATGGATAAGGAGAACTTCATTAACGCCGTGGCACCCAAGCAGGAAGACTATGTAAGTGTGACTAGGGACTGCAAAGGTACTGAAATCTTCGCAATTGCTGACCGGGTTTCCTCCCTAACAGCACAAGATTAAGCGCGAACAATATGGTATTCTTTTCAACGTGGCAGACCGACGGAGAGTTGGCAAGCTGAACATTACCGATTGGGCCTCCTTCGAAAACCTCCTCGCGAAGCCCGATGCCGAGTACGAGATCGCCTTCCGTCTCTTCGACTACGATGGAACCGGCAGCGTCAAATTCGACACCGTGCAGGGATTGTACAACATGAACAAGAGTGCCGACAGCATTCCCTTTGATTGGAACTCAGAATGGGCATCGCTCTATGGAGGCCGCTCCAAGTCTCGCCATGACATGACCTACCCCCAATTCGCCCAGATGCTGCGTGGTTTGCAGGGTGAGCGCATCCGCCAAGCTTTCCACATCTTCGACAAGGATGGTGATGGCTTCATCCAGCCCGAGGACTTCCAACGCATTATCCTCGAGACCTCAAAACACAAGCTGTCCGACCATGTCCTGGAGAACCTCCCCACCCTGTGCAACATCTCGACCAGCAACCGCATCTCCTACGCCAACGTCCGTGCTTTCCAGAATGTCATGCGTGAGATGGACATCATTGATTTGGTTGTCCGCGAAGCAACGAAGAAGAGTAAGGATGGCAAGATCACTCGTACCGACTTCCTGAACGAGGCCGCTCGTGTCACCCGTTTCTCCCAGTTCACACCCATGGAGGCCGATATTTTGTTCCACTTCGCTGGACTGGATGCGCCTTCAGGGCGTCTCTCCCAGAAAGACTTCGCCAAGGTCATCGATGCTTCATGGCGTATCCCCGTGCTCGCTGTAAACCAGGTCTTGGCTACTGGACAGGAAGTTGCTGAGAAGACTAAGACTGTGCTTCACAGCGTTCTTGAGTCTGCACACCACTTTGCTCTGGGTAGTATTGCCGGTGCTTTTGGTGCTTTCATGGTCTACCCCATTGATCTGGTCAAGACCCGTCTGCAGAACCAGCGTTCGTCTCGCCCCGGCGAGAGACTGTACAACAACTCCCTAGATTGCGCTAGGAAGGTTATCCGCAACGAGGGTTTCACTGGCCTGTACTCCGGTGTCATTCCCCAGTTGATTGGTGTGGCGCCTGAAAAGGCCATCAAGCTGACTGTGAACGATCTCGTTCGTGGCTACTTCACAGACAAGGAAACTAACCGGATCAAGTACAGCCGAGAGGTTCTGGCTGGTGGAACTGCTGGTGCTTGTCAAGTCGTCTTCACAAATCCCCTTGAGATCGTCAAGATCCGCCTGCAGGTCCAGGGTGAAATCGCCAAGAACGTCGAGGGTGCCCCTCGCCGCTCAGCCCTCTGGATTGTCAAGAACCTGGGTTTGATGGGTCTGTACAAGGGAGCCACCGCCTGTCTCCTTCGTGATGTCCCCTTCTCGGCCATCTACTTCCCCACATACGCACACTTGAAGTCCGACTTCTTCGGCGAAACCGCTACCAACAAGCTCGGCGTTCTTCAGCTCCTCACTGCCGGTGCCATCGCCGGTATGCCCGCTGCCTACCTCACCACCCCATGCGACGTCATCAAAACCCGTCTGCAGGTCGAAGCCCGCAAGGGTGACACCAAGTACCACGGTCTCCGCCACTGCGCTGCCACCGTCTGGAAAGAAGAGGGCCTGGCTGCCTTCTTCAAGGGTGGACCCGCCCGTATCATGCGTTCTTCACCTCAGTTCGGTTTCACTCTGGCTGCCTACGAGGTCCTGCAGAAAACCTTCCCCATGCCTGGTGAGGGTGAGGCCATCACACCTACTGGTCACGTCGAGCCTAGTGTGGGTGGACACGGCGCTAGTGCCCCTCTGCCTTACCTCCGGTCAAGGAACGCGCTCAAGATCATCCTTGACCTTGACCAGAACATTGGCCGGGTGCAGGTCCCTCGGCCTGAGAACTGGCCCAAGTTCCTGCAGAGCTCGAAGTAGAGAGGCTTGCTGTTATCTAGTGAACCTGCCATTTCTTGGTCTTTGTTTTCTTCATTTTTACTTTACTAGCGATATGTTTCTCATTTCTCATTTGGTCAAGGCCTATCTTTCCTTCAGTTTAGCATGAGATCTTTCTCACATTTCTTTCGGATTCTTTTCATGTCCCGCCTTCTTTGTGGCATAGTTGGGCTTGACTTGGGACGTGCATCCCCCCCTTTGCATCATGATGTCTTTCGGAGACCACCTGTGTTTGCATTGTATCAACAGCAGATAGATTTGGAAAGAAGGTGTGTGGGTTGTTTTAGAGAGCCCTGATTGTGGTGTTTCTATCAATCTAGATCTGGTTTGGGTTGATGTTCTCCTGTTTTATCATGTGGGTGTAAGCCTAGACATGTGTAGTTGATGGTTGATCCAAGTCGTGCCTAGAGAGCAGATAGGTCATGCCTAGATCAAGGAACTATTTGGGTGCATTTGATCTTGCAATCTGCAATGGATTACATTGCAAGTCTGGTTTTTGAGTTGGGTATCCCAAGCTTGGGAGAATATGTACATGAAGCATGGTTTGCAAGCTCAAAAGCGGGTATCGGAATCTACTCGAAGGAAATATTCCCTGTACAGGTGATGTTACATTTATATCCTCGAGGATATATCGGTCACGGACTGGGTCCATGTGTGTGTGGGAAATGCTAGACCCAATTGTCGTGGATAGAAAGAAATCCCATCGTGATCTAGAAGATCAATCCGACATCGTTGAGACGGCAGTGGCACAATGCGGTGGCGTATATCCCGAGTTCACACGAGCGAGCCTCAAGACCAGAGGCTTGTTCTTGATGAAGACCCGATTTAGTCCTCATTCAATAGAATCTAAGCTTTCGTGTAGACTCAGTCTTAACAGGCTCCTCGGCGACTTTGTCTTCCGCAGGCTGTGTGGGTTGCTTTTGTTCCTTCTCGGGCTCCTGGACCTTCTCTGGTTTCGATTGGGCGGTCTTCTTCTCATGCCATAGGGAATCTTCGGCTTCAATCTCGCGCAATACTAGAGAGAAATAGTCAGGAACCAGCCATAACATAGAAACGTCGGATATTGGTTAACACACCCTCATCCCACTCTCGTTCCTTTGCCTCATCGCCCGTTCCAAGCAACTTCTCCACATCGACCTTCTCTCCATTCTTAACTCGTGCAATGATCTCCGCTAGAAGCTCGATCTTCGCATCAGTTGTCCGAGTATACGCCGCATAGCCGTTCTTCAAAGTGAGCATGCGAATGGCTTGCGAGCCGATCAGAGTGAACATGATGATATAGAATGTCGCCGGGTTCCATTCTTTAGATTTCTCTTTCGCAGGATCCTTGCGCGCTCTGCCACCACGAAGAAATCGGGGAATCATTGCCGTCCATACTGACGTGTCTGCGATCTTCGGAAGGCGATCGGAGGTCGAATATGAGCGCCCAGCCGGAAGGCGGCATTGTCTGGTAGTATTAAATGTAGAAGGAGCAGAAAAGATCTGTCTGCTAAGCCCAAAGGGCCTGTATCTGAAAGCCATAGCCTCTGTTCGCGTCTCGTAGCAACCGTCGATCTTTAGAAACGGGAAAAGTTGAGGTCGTGATTGCCTGAGGCGATAAGGCTATCAACGCCCAATAAGGTATAGCGTTGTTGTTGCTGCGACAACCCCCGTTTAGAGTGTCCGGCCGATAGCGATTGCACATCAAAGGCTCGACGCGAGCGATGACCTCAGTCCTGCAGCTTCGATAAAACGACGACAAAAATGGCGGTCACGGTTTTGCCGGCCAGCTCTTTAACAGAGTCTGTGAAACAGGCCCTCCGCTCAACGACCACATGCTCGGACGCTACTGTGTTGTCCCTCCAAACACTCCTCCGCGGGTCACCAAAGATGCCCGAGAAACCCACGAAACGCACAAAATCCACAAGAGAACCAGCCGCGGCGCCGAGTCGAACGAGAACTTCCCGCGCAACAAAAACAAAACCCGCAAATGATACGACGCTGCAATCATTGGCCGATCATGACGCGGCGGCATTGTCGTGTCAGGAGAAGCTGGTCTTTGCTACGGAGGTATTCAATGCTACATTAAAGACCCTCACAGATGCTGCGAAGGTATCTACAGCCAAGCGCCAGAATAATACCCCCGATACCCCCAATGGCCCCGACGCGGGCATCATCTCGGCCGCGGAGTGCGCCAGGCTTTCTTTGTCCACACTGCGCACTCTTAAGAATGACGCTGGGAAAGACCAGTTCCCCAACATGCAGCTCGAGCAGGGGCTTTGTGTTCTAGCGGGAAAGCTCATTTCTCTGGGACTGAACGACGTGGCATACAAAGAGCTTCGACTTTTGAAGCGGAGAATCCAGCAGCATCTGGATGGCGGGAAGGCCGGGAAGAAGACTACAGAAGCGAGGGATTCGACGGACGAAGAAGCTTCGAAGGAACGAATGTCGGATCTCTTGACGTTCGCTCACATCTCAAACGGGAAATCACTGTATGGCTTGCTTGTTCCCTTTCAATCGAATGTGATGCGGTTGTTTGCTGCGGATAAAAGAGCCTCCACAATACAGAAGGTCTGCCCTGCTTTGCAACTTTCCGATTCGAGCAGCCCTGCTCAAGTAATTTTGGCTGCCCTGAAATCGGGTCAACTATCGAATGACAAGGCTGCTCTTCAACTCCAGTTACTATCAAATACAGTTCTAGCACTTTGCTCGGGAACGTCTTTCTCCAAGGATGAGGCCTCGAATAGTTTGAAGCCAACGACATCATTGGCCCTGCAACTACTTTCTCTCGAGGTTCGCTGCTTGGGCTGGAAGCTGTCTGGTCATGTCTGTGATGAGAGCAAAGAAGTGTTCGATCCTTTGCTTCGCTATTTTGGTAGCTTTTCTCACCGGAGCAAGGGTATTGAGAAGGCCGAGTTTGCTACAATTTACAAAACGGTTACTCGGCTGCAAACATCCATTTCAGAGGTCAAGAAGAAGTCCTCAGAAACACAAAACGCCAACCAGGCTGCCAAGCTCATGACTATTCTCGGGCAGCTCGCCTTCGATGCAGGGTGTTTTGATGAATCCATGAAACTGTTCACACAAGCCATTAATCCCCTTTCAAAGACCCAGTCTCTTTCGCTGGCCACAGTTCGGTGTAAAATTGCGTCTGTTCATTTCCAGGCTTCGAAGACATCGAAAAAGTTCCTGGACGGAGCTTTGGATTCCGTATCAGAGGCGACTCAATCCCTTGGGTTGCAGTTAAGAGGTAGCGCAAACGACCTAGACGAGCTGCTGGTAGAAGCTGCAAGACTGAAGAAGCTGGCTCTTTCGTGGTTCGGCGAGGCTATCACAAAAAGTTTCGAGACTGAGAGCGAGAAAAACGAAGTTGCTAGTCAGATCAGGGAATATCTACAAGCGTTCATCAGGTTCCTCAGACGCTATGTTGGACGCCAACCAACAGAAGATGGTGATGAAAAGGAGATTGAGATGTTCAACAAACGTATCTCAATTTCTAGGAGCATCATTCTAGCTGCCATTGATTCCACTGTCGCAATTGGAAAGCTTTCTATCATGTCGCAGCGGCCACCTTGGGAAGACATGCTTCCAATCCTAGCTGATTGCCATCGCCTGCTTTCGACTATCGAATCCCCCGATGAAAAGAATACAGAAACAACAGAAAACTTAGGGATGGCACTTGTTAAGCTTTCAAATTTGTTCTGGTCTCGATACATCAAAGAAAAAGAGGCCGGACAAGGTTATCGGGAACTCATACCCCTTCTTAAACAATCTACCCAGCTGCTTTCAAGCTGCTCACCCTCTCAACGCAACACAGCATTTGCAGCCCTCAAGTTCGAGAGAATGGCTCATCTGTACATCGAGGGTAACATGTACATTGAATCGGAGCAGATGTTTCGACAATCGATTGAAGAATACATTATCTCTGGAACTCTAGAGCAGATCCTCAAGATCAGTGGAGGACACAATCCTAGTTCACTCAACCAGGATCCCAAGAGTCCCGGTTTTATGCTTGGCCGTGTACTTTCTGCCCTTCTGAAGATGAAGCTACGCAGGAAGGGATCTCACCCCTCCGTTGTCTATGATGATGTTGAACTAGAATTTGAACAAAGATGTCTTCTTATCGAATGGCAGATGAGCTTGCTCGTCGACATGAATGGCTATTCAAACGAAGAAGAGTTTCGCTTGATTCTCGGCTCTGCTGTTTCTTCTCTCCTCGACCTCTACCCCCATGACGTCTACCCCATTCGCCATTCTCGTGTGATTCTCTCTGCCTTGCGCCTCCTACTGGAACAGCCAACTGCCTTGGATTCGTCTTTGATTGAAACTCTGCTGGATGCAGGAACAATGGCTTTGGCTAGCGGGTTACAAGTCCGAGATGACATTGATCTTGCTCCATTTGCAATCCATATTAGCAACTCATTGCGCATCACCATCGGTTTCCACCGCGGCAAGATCGACGCAAGCGAACTAGATGACACTCTTGCATCGTGGACTTCATTGGTCCGCCAGTCCCGTGACTGGAAAACACTGCTGCTCTGCATCAATGACACGGAGTACTGGGTCTTGCAGTTGAAGGCCCTGGTTGACTATACCGAAATCCACGGACTTTGGAAGGCTCAACTATGCACCCTGGAACTGATATTGCGCGCCGCGGAGCTCCAGCAATCAGGGGATTTGTCAGACCCCATCATCATTCTGTCCCGCTTGGTACTGCAGAATTGCCGCCTGGGTTACTGCCAAAAGGCAGGTGAACTCCTGTCGCGTGGTGAGCAGTATCTTGCTCAAAGTAAGGTTTCTTCTCTCGCTACCATTTCCTACAAAGTTGCACGGGTGGAATATCTTCTGGAGACCGGAGAGCCTGAGAAAGCCGCGGCCGTTCTTTCAGCAGCCCACTCACTCTATGAAAAGTGCCAGAAGTCAGAATTAAGCAACTTGACTGTCCTGTCGAAGATCTCATGGGAAAGACTGGTAGCAGATGCCGCCTTTGTTCAGTCCAAGTTGTTCTCCGCACAGGGCTCAGCAACCCAGGCTCTGTACTTCGCAAAGCTTTCTGTGAGGCTCAACTGCCGCATTTGGGCTAAGGTTGAGAGGCTCGCTCAGAGAAAGCAAGACAAGATGTCGCCTGCTGCAGGAAGTTCTGATGTTGAGGCTGTTGCTGATGGTATCGCAAAGCTTGATTTGTCGCAGAATGGATCGTCCCCGGACGTGTCTGCCAGCTACATCCAAGGTGCGCCTTTCTGGCCGCATCTGGGCTCCCACCATACCTGCTTGTTGAACCTTGCCACATTATCTGCCCACCATGGCTTGTTCCAGGATGCTATCTATTACGGCGAACAAGCGCTGAAGATTGACAAAACCCTTGATGCTAATGCACGGCTACTGGCGGCGCAGACCCAGCTCGGTTGCCATTGGATTCTTAGTGGCCACATGAGTGAGGGACAGGATCATCTCTCTGCAGCGGCTGAGTCGTCTAAACAAACTCAGAAAAGCATTGAAACCGTGTCTTTTCAAATGGGGCTTGCGTCTCTGTACAAGACGCAGGGCGCTCATGACAAGGCACTGCGTGTTCTCCTTGAAGCAGATAAAATCATCACATCGGTCATCTCTGCTGACGTGCCTGCTAATCTGGAGGCAGCAGGCATGGCAGAGATTGAAGAGAAGATGGACAAGTTACGTGTTAGAGCAAGCAGCCGGCGAACCCCAACACCTCGAACCCCGACACCTACTACGACTACTACCACTCGGCGGACCCGTGCAACCAGTTCCGCTACTATTAAGCCCACAAAGAAAGCCCCAGCTCCAAAATCAACTCTCCCCGAAATCCAATCCAAATCCCTATTACAACTGAAAGGCAACATCCTCAGACAGCAAGCTGATTGCCTACGGGAATTGCATGACTTTGAGCGATCTGCGCAAACACTTGCAGAGGCCAGGCAATTTGCCGTGGCCCGAGAAAGCAAGATTGCTCTAGAAATTGGTGAGAGCGAGCACCTGCTGGCTGATGCAATTCGCCGTTTTGCCAGCCATGCCGTGTACTGCGTCTTACCCGAATCTACAATCTCGCTACCGTCACTCAAAACACCAAGCAAGATGGCAGATGAGCCTAGTTTACCCCCGGCAAAGCCGTCAACAAGGAGAACAAGGGCTCCTGCCAAAACAACGCGCACCAAGGCTCAAAGAGCCAGTGATGACTTTTCGGTTATGCTGTCCAAGGCAAGCGATTGTCTTGCCAGTGTCTTCTCTGATGCCACGATTCTAGGCTCAACGCTTGATAGTCATGCGGCATCTCGCTTGATGAGTCGGATCTCGATGCTATCGCATGCGACTTCTCCCGGGATCCCAGCGACTCTGGCTCAGTCACCCGCAAATATGAATGGTAAGTTTTGTGAGGTCCTTTTGGTTTGACATGTATCTGACTTTTTCAATTAGAGATCGGACGTGTTGGCGCATTTGCCCGGGAGCGTATGGCCATTGATATCGATCGACAGCTGGCTGATTTTGCCGACCCTCTTCTTTGGCCAACCTCGTTCCCCTCAGCTATCGAGCTGGACAATGACCTTTGCTCCAACTTCACACAGGATTACGTCGACATTCTGCCCGAAACTTGGAATGTTCTCTCTTTGTCATTGAGTGCAGACCGCACCGAATTTGTGGTTTCACGACTCCAGAAAGACCGTTCACCATTCCTTCTGCGTCTTCCTCTCCACCGAGGAAACTCAGAAGACGACGACGAAGAGCAGTTCACTTTTGAGGATGGAAAAGAGGAAATGCAAGAACTCATCAAACTGGCCAACGAAAGTGCACATGCAGCCAAGGCCCAGACGGACAAGTTGTCGAAAAAGGAATGGTGGAAGACCCGTGAAGCGCTCGATCGTCGGATGGAAAGTGTGCTTCAGAACATTGAGAACATATGGTTTGGAGGGTTCCGCGGTGTGTTCTCGCCGCTGTCGCGGGAGACAACCGCGCTGGCCCGGTTCGCAAGCACCTTCCAAAGCATCCTTGACAAGCATCTTCCTTCTCGGCAGAAGGGTGGCAAGGCCGCTGGACCCCGGCTCACGCTACATCAGAATGTAGTGGACTTGTTCATTGGGCTTCGCGATCTCGAAGACCAAGAAGAGCCCGAAGACACACTGATGGATCTTCTTTACTTTGTCGTGGATATCCTACAATTCCAGGGCGAGCGCAATGCCTATGACGAGATAGATTTCGACATGATGGTCGTAGATACCCTCGATGCCTTGCGAGGCTACCACGAAGCTGCGCGCGATGAACTTGCGGCACGGCCACCGAGACATACAATCCTTGTACTCGATAAAGCTCTCCACCTGTTTCCATGGGAATCACTTCCCTGTCTCCAAGGATACCCTGTCTGTCGCGTCCCATCTCTCGAGTGTCTCCGGGACCGAGTCCTCCAATTCCGCAAGTCATCATCCGGAGCCATCGTGGACCGCAACTCCGGCGCATTGGTCCTCAATCCAACAGGTGACTTGCGCACAACGCAAACAACGTTCGAACAAGATCTTTCCCGGTTTAAATCCTGGACTGCAGTCGTGCAGCGCGAACCAACCGAAGACGAATTCCGCGACGCGCTAGAAAATAAGGGTCTATTCCTCTACTTCGGCCACGGCAGCGGCGCGCAGTACATCCGCGGCCGCACGGTCAAGCGGCTCACACAATGCGCTGTTACTTTCCTCATGGGATGTAGCAGCGGCACTTTGACCGAAGCTGGCGAGTATGAGCCCTACGGCACGCCGATGAATTATCTCCATGCCGGCAGCCCCGCGCTCGTGGCTACACTGTGGGATGTCACGGATCGGGACATTGATCGGTTTACTACGACCGCCTTTGACGCGTGGGGTCTGGTCGAGAAGAAGGATAAGAAGAATGAGAGCCGGGAGGAGGATGTTGGGCTTGACACGGCAATTGCGCGTTCAAGGGGTGCGTGTGTGTTGAGGTATCTCAACGGCGCAGCGCCTGTGGTTTACGGAGTTCCGGTGTTTTTGGAATAAATCTGAGGTCATGTTTCTTTTTACCTTATTATTTTGTATATATACCTTGGCGTTTTCCCCACTGTGGGCAGCAATCTGATTTGACTCTTCATAGTCGGCCTTTCAAGATGTTAGAAGTACAGTGGACTAAACAATGTCCACCTGTTATGTGATGTCATAAAGTGCAGTGAATAGACTAGACAATGTCCAGTGCAATAGCTCCAAGTCTTAATAACAAATATCACCAAGATACATCAAGCATCTATACAATTCTATCAACTCCGAAATAGGAAGAATAATCCTATCAAAGTGGACCTTTTTTTCCCCTCATGCGGGACAAATCTCCCCCCACCATAAAAACGTCAACGTCTCCCGGTTTCTTAGCTTTCTGTTTTCTTTTCTCCCTCCAACAATAAGAAGATACCACATCCTCAAAATGTCCGTCACCACAAACGCAACCATCGCTTCCTTCGGCGGCAAGCTCCTCAAGCTAAGCCATGCCGCCACAACTACAAAATGCGAGATGAAATTCAACCTCTTCTTGCCCCCGCAGGCCCAGACACAGAAAGTCCCCGTACTGATCTACCTCTCCGGTCTGACCTGCACCGCCGAGAACTGCTCTGAGAAGGGCTTTTTCCAGCACAGCGCCAGCAAGAAGGGAATTGCCGTGTTGTATCCTGATACTAGCCCACGTATGTGTCTTCCTTATCTTTCCATCAATTCAAATTATATTGTTGAAAGTAAAGAAAAATTATAATTAACATACAAATTTTCTAGGCGGTCTCAACATCCAAGGCGAGGACGACGCATACGACTTCGGCTCCGGCGCCGGCTTCTACGTCGACGCTACCAAAGCCCCCTACAACGCCGGCTATAACATGTATAGCTATGTCACCGAAGAGCTGCCACAGACTGTCTTTGCTGCGTTCCCGCAGTTGGATGCCAGCCGTGTTAGTATCACCGGCCACAGTATGGGTGGGCACGGTGCTCTCACTCTGGTAAGCTATACACTACCTGTTTCATTCAGATGTTCGCTATATAGCACGAGAGCTAGAAAGAACATATTTTGCTTGGGGTGTTATTTATCTAACTAATCAATCAGTTCCTCCGCAACCCCGGCAAGTACAAGTCCGTCTCTGCGTTCGCGCCGATCACAAACCCGTCGAACTGCCCCTGGGGCCAGAAGGCGTTCAAGGGCTACTTCGGTGATGATCAGCAAGATAAGTGGAAGGAGCACGATGCTACCGAGTTGATTAAGAAGTGGAGTGGGGGTCCTCTGGATATCCTGATTGATGTGGTGAGTTTTCTTTTTTTTTTTGCCTGATTTTTCTCTCCTTTTCTTTGTTTTATTCTGTTTTCACTATATTCCATCCATCTGTTCTGTGGCTCGTGAAATTTCTAATCATATCCAGGGCACCGGCGACAACTTCTACAAACAAGGCCAACTCCTACCGGAGAACTTTGAAGCCGCAGCCCGTGGCGCTGGCATCGCCGGCTTGAACATTCGCTACCAGCCTGACTACGACCACTCCTATTATACCATGGCTACCTTTGCGGATGACCATGTTGAGCATGCGGCCAAGTATCTCTTTGCATAGTGTGTGCTCTCCTCTTAACTCCTAATCTCAAAACTATGATGTTTTACTTGTCTTGCGTATTTCTTTTGTAAACTGGATCTGATTGGTTCCTTCTTTTGGCTCAAGTGAGCGCCAGGTTGTTAGGTCGATGATTTAAATGAGTCTGGGAATTTGAATGACAAGGGATGCCCTAGTTCTGATCGAATCTAACCGGCGCATGAGTACCATGAGACTTAATAAGATAAGAGGAAAGGAATTTGTTCTTGATTGCATGATGTTATGGCTCTCCAATTTATATGGTAGAGCAAGATCGTTCGTGCGCACTACATATTTTGGGATACAAGCGCCTCCATTCTCAACAATAGCTGCTGAACTCTGACGGCGTCATCCTTGACCGATAGAATCTCATCCTCAGCTCCAAAGTCCACTAGGTTGGTAGACCCTGCAGCCATTGTAAAGAAACGGGCTTGGCGCCCAATGACTGTAATGGCATAAAGAGGGCTATTGGGCTGGCGACCACTCCAGTTCCTCATGTTGTTCTCCAGCTGGACCTTCGTCTGTCCCCACTTGGTGAGGGTTGCATTCTTATATTTTAGAGCTTTGCACTCAACGAACAACACTTTGTTGATGCTGTTCTCTCGGACATTGGTAACCACGATATTAGCGCGAGCTTGTGTGGTTTCAGATGTGTAGGGTTCACGTTCAAGGCCGTAGCCTTGCTGGAGGGGGAAATAAAAGCGCAGGATCTGTGTCCACATATGATCCACCTTATCCTCCTTGCATCCACGCTTGACTTTTTGGATGTAAAGGTTGATTATCTCATGGTCCGCATACTGTGTAGGCCATTCAGTTAGCAACTCAATTCTAGCACAAGCAAGACTAAACTTACGGATGCAGACATATTTGCAAACTTAAGGCACGGCCAGCGTGTTTGGGTATGCTTGAGTATGTGTAGAATTTGGTGGAGTGTGGAGGAGCTTAGAGGGAAAGAAGCGTCAAGGGCATACGCACAGAGATTTATATTATTTTAGTATCTATTGTAGATTTGTAGCCTTTTTCAAACCTATAGCTATCAAATAAACGTAGAAGTAGAATAGCATAGAAGGTGCCCTATTGAGATATGATTGTTATTGAACTTTGATAGTCAATAGGACAGTAGGTAGAGGTGTTTACACTGAATATTTTAGTCAACAAGATGCTAGGCAGAAGTATAAGTTCTGTTTATACTCATTGCTTTAGACATATCTCTACATAATAATGGAGTGCCATTGAAGGGTTTTTGCGTTTCAATGGAAGCTATTCGGCTTTTAGTTTACGTACATTCAGGTAGTTTTAGCCTAGGCAGTCAATGATCAGGCTGTTGAAAATTTTTAAACGACTTTTCAGCAAACGGACATAAGAATTATACAATTCAAAATTACGAATATGATAGTGAGGATCCTTTCACTCCTTCATATCTCTCTCTCCCTTTCTCCGAGTCACCGAGTCCCTGCATCACTAGGACCGCCAGGTCTGCTTCACTCCGGCAGGTCGTACACGAACAGGCTCAGGTCGCGACGCTATGCTTTGTCGTCTTCTTCGTCTTCGTCGGCAGCATTGACTGATCTCTATGTGCGTTGGTGTGAGGTGACCTCGGCGGACCTGGTGCCCGACCACTGTGTTGTGCTTCCTGTTTCTCTAGCACTTGCAGTTTCTTGGTTTGGTTTGCTTGTTAGATCTTGATGATCCTCGTCCCCTGTCCCCTTCTCCCTCCACGTGGCGACCGAGTCCACTGACTAAAACTGTCGAGTCCTGTCGCGATCATGAACTTTTCCACGATCGGCGCTACCTTCGATTCCTTCAACATCTCCTCCTCCCCGAGTATCATCGAGACCTCGGCTTTGAACAATCCCTCTACTATCTCCTCCCGCAACTCCTCTAGGAGTGGACACTCGAGCAAAACGTGTCGTACACTTTGGTTTCCCAAGTCGCATTGACAGCGTATTGAGTCTTTTCTCTTAATTTTAGACTGGTATTCAGCGAGTCCAATAATGCCTGTGTGGAGTTGAATCTGAACTGATGTTGTCGCTTTCCGAAGGCCTTTCCAGTACGCCAAATTCAACTTGTTTGGCGCCTCGATCATCCTCCTTGTCCTCCGCGCCCACCCAACCACTAACAAAGAGTAAGCAGCTAAGCGAAGAATAATAACGCCAAACTAGTGCAAATCCAACTTCTTCCTCTCCAATATATCCTTCCTCTTTCCCGCTATAATCACTGCAAACTGAGCCTCATCTTCGCACATTTAGTCTTTCGCCAGCATCAAATCATGGCATCTCTGAATCGCCAACCAATCACCGAGGCTTACGTGAATTTCTTTTGTACTAATACTTATATTCAATAAAAAATATATTCAATGGAAAGCATATGGTCACAAATTGTGGCATTCCTAGATACCTGAGCAACTGTAGCGAAAGGCTTTTTTTGCCTGGGTTCTATCTATGCTATGGATAGACCAATCATCTTGCAATACTAACTCAAGGTTACCTTATGCTATAACTTCCACTGGGGCATAAGTGACTTACATCGAACTTTCCCGAAATAGCTTTGATGTCTCGCTCAAGGACAAGTTCCGTGGACTTGCAGTCCCCTCTGCCCTCTGTTAGGCCTATCCAGCTAGTGACGGTGGTGTTCTCATTGAAAATAGGGCGTATTGCGTGGATTCCAGCTTCACCCACAATAACCGTAAATCCTATCAGTTTCTCGCCACAGAGATTGATTGTCACGGATTGCCCTGGTAGCCGATACCCAAGAATTAGATTTGGCCTTTCGGGATCTGCATTTAGCAGGTCTAACCCAGTAACATATGTATCTGCTCCCTCGCGTATGACAGACACACCCAAGCCGATGATGGAGTGTTCTAATAGAACGACTTGAGAAAAGGTTTTATGTCTTCTCTGGCACATGTGGCAATTCCTCCATTTGTCCACTTTTAGGCCATCTCTATCACATCGGAGTTCAGTAGAAACCTCCTTCCAGGGTAATTCGCCAAGTAATCCCTGGTTGGAGTTAATCTGCTCGTTCGAAGCCCTAATCATCGAATGCCTTTCTCTTAGCCATCGGTTATTTCTCCACCTTCGCCGTTTCGTCCAGAGGTGCTGGTGAGATCGATCAATTTTGGCTGTACAGCGGTATATGAGTCGCCAGTCTTTGCTTTCATAGCTTCTAGGATCTGTCACTAAGCAGTTCAGAAACCCACGGTCTCCATTCACTGAAAATCTTGACTTCCAAAATGATTGAAATTCAAATACAACTACCATTGCTCGGGATGACTGTCGGAGACTTAGGAAGTCGACAGTAGAAAGGTAGGTTGCGATTTGGACTCGTATCTCAATCGGGAGGATGCCAAAGGAGTCAGGGTGAAGCACAACGGTGCTCTTAGAACCAGAGCAATTTGCTTCTTTGGGCATCGTCGGAAATTGTTTCGCGGCATCTCGACGTCCCTTGATAATGGGTCGTTTTAAAGGGTAGAACCGTTCCTGCGTACCCAGCTCATTGTGATATGCCGCTAGGTCTGTTAAAGAAGCCAAATCCAATAATATTATCATGCTCACTTACAGTCATGTTCTGGTCTTCCCGAAGGAGGGATGTCCCTGAAGATTTCAAAAAGCCTGGCCAAATCGATCTCCCCCCCTTCAAAATGCTGCTCCAAAAGGAACCAGCAGATCTCATGGATTAAGAAAGCTTTGGGGGGGTTTTTTACGTGCATCGAATACCAACGGCCAAGCTTTTTAGGATCACCGTCATATACTTCCATGTACCAGTCAAACTCGGATGTATAAACATCTGACAACTGGATCCCGCTTCGGGTCGAATACACTATAGCGGATGAGTCTGGTGCAAGAAGAGTAATTATAACATGGGGATCAAACTCACATACTTGGTATCTTGCCATCCACAGGGGCTTATTCCGGAGGTCTGATCCACAAGATACGCAGCGACAACAATATTCAGTCTCATCCATAACAAAACCTGGAAATTGAAAACTAGAGGCGATGATCTGAAGTTTGAAATATTCTGGGGCGAAAATCTATGAATATTGCAATGTATAGAAGGATCATCATGACCTCAGTCTATGTTCACACGACTGGCGATTCGGTTCACTTGGAATAAACCTTATACAAAAGTAATATGACAGGAGAGTTAGAAACATATGATATGATAGGTCGAATTTCATACACGATAGCTGCAGCTTTAGCTTCGACAAGAATAGTCGGCCGCTCATGCGGCCTCTGTCCTTGAGTAGTAGTTTGTTCTCTTCCTAAGCGCCCATGCTACCATTGATCTTCTGAACATCCTCATTTCCCATATCATCCACCCATTTATCCTTCCGATGATAGTAGATTTCCGTTGACAACTTCGCACACTTAAGACGGTGTTCTTCATCGAGTGTCCCCGACTTCACCGCGACGACTTCGTTATCATCACTCGATCGTGATGTAAATGGCGTACCGCAATCGGGGCAGAACTCGCGCAATACCTGCCCGCCCCTGTCGCTACGATCTGAGTACAACTTGGGTGACCCCTTGGTGTACTCCAGACTAGATTGCGGCACGATGATATTGGCGGAAAAGCTGGAGCCGGTATAGCGTTTGCAATTGGTGCAGTGACAGATAATAACCTGGCAACTTTGTTAGTATGAAATAGTTAAGTAATTGGAGATAAACAATAAAACTATACCTCAGGAGATGATTCTGATGGCAACATAATACGGTATACTATGTTCTTGCAGAGGCAAGCACCGGTCAAGTAATTCTGAGTCATTGTGGATTGTGGGGTTGGCTATCGGAAGTTCAGTGTAATCTCTCGAAGAGTTCTCTGCTGAGGATATAAATATTGACAGGCGAGATAAGATTGTTTTAGTGCCAGATTAGCTAGACAATCCTTGACACACCGGGGACTGCACTAGCACGATAACTGATGCTATTTTTATCCCAAGGATTAATAATGTACATAGGACACTGCCAACAACATTCTTTCTAACTATTCTATTTAGTCTTTCAGATGTCTATAGCGGATTATCGAATTTTACGAATGTTCTTATAGGTAACCTACATTACGTCGGACGCTAGGTACAGTCCAAGGGTTATTGGTCCGGCAACGGATCACTTCAATCCGATTACCGACTCTCTGTTGCCATTTTCTCCATCAAAGCGAAACTACACACTGGGGTAGACTTGAGAGAATGCGGGGAAGACAAGTGGGTAACTTACTTTACTATCCTTTCTCCAGTTCCTCACGCTCGAGCTTGCAGAGTTTTGAAAGGGAGCTAAAATTCACCAATAAAAAACGTAGTGAGGTGAAATCCCAAAATAATTTCATCAAAAAGGGCCAAAGTACAAGGTATATATTACCTCTATTATCAGGTTCAAAATCTATTCCCCCAACTCTACAGCACATAATAAGCAAATTCCCATTAGGTCAATCAGAAAAAGCTTGAGATACTGACTAGTAAACTTAAACATGCGTAAATAATAGCCGAGGATAGCTCGGCAGCTTTATGCATCCTAATCAGGGAAGGTCGCTAAAATTTATGAAAATGAGGGTCAAGGACCGAGGGTAGGAAAGGGAATTTGGAACTCTCGTGCGGGTCATATTGAGGGTATAGTGAGGGTATAGTGAGGGTATAGTGAGGGTATAGTGAGGGTATAGTGAAGGTGCAGTACAGCAGGTGGAGCTCGAGTTTATGCCATTCACGATCATGCGCAAGTATAAGTTACTATAAGCTACCAATACGGCAGGTTTTAGACGCCATCGCGCCAACTGACTAGGCAGAAAACTAGTAATAAATTAAATTAATGAATAATCCATACCTATAGCCCAGGGTACGAATGTATTAATTCCTTCTAAAATAGGTACTGAATATAATACTATTCGTACATATATAAATCGTAGAATCCCCTTCTTTCTTATTATAACCTTTAAACTAAAGAATTAGAGGTAACTCTTTATCTTTAACATTAGCTTAAAGTATGATTTTTTTACCGTCTTTATACATATCTAAAAAAATATCTAGAAAGAGTATCTAGAAAGAGTATCTAAAAAGACCATCTAAAAAGACCATCTAAAAAGACCATCTAAAAAGACCATCATAAGGCCGCAAACACAGCCGACTATCTATACCAAACATTGCTGTACACGAGATTTCTATCCAATTATATAGGTTGGTGCGATGGCGTCTAAAACCTGCCGTATACCAACTATAGTTACCAGCTACAGCTAAGTTAAACAACAATATCCAATCTGTCCCAATACTGTTAATTGATACCCATTTTCCTAAACTGAATTCGAGTTTCTTTATATTTTCATATGATTTCTTGTATTGTTCGATAGTTTCATTCTCTCCCAGCGTGTCATAAGTTTATCAATAGCCGACCTCATCACAAAAACAACGCAATGACCGCGTCTCCACATACCCCAGATATACCCCCCGCATCAGGTATTCCGGAAATTAACACACTAAAAAGTCCCTCGAGGATGTTTTGTTCCAATCAAGTATTCACTTTCGGCATATCCTGCCTTTTTTTTGCAATTCGTGCAGTTACAGACGGCCTTTGAAATGTTGCCGGCGCCGGTGTTCAATCGCCTACCCATTGAGTATCAGCTATAAAATGTTATAATTCCTGCTTCTGGGAATAAGCTTCTTAGAGCCTAAGCAATATAATCAAATATCTGTTTTCCTTGATCTGCCGATAAGCATTGGACTTGTCTAGTATTGTTGCGCGATGTTCTTCCCGCTACTTTTTGGAGCTGGAGCTGCACTTGCGGCCGCTGTGCCAACAAATGTTAAGCAACACGGCTCACCGGCAGTTACTGTGAGAAAGCAGGTGCCTCATAATGCTGGTGCTGCAATTCTGGCTCCATTCGTCTCGTTCTCAATCGAGTTCTCTTCTTTCCCGGATTTTGCAGGTATGTTAAGAGCATTGCTATTTAACGATACCTTGAGCTCAAATGTGTTTCTGATAGGGAATAAATCCAAGCCGAATCGGTTTTCCAATCAGTTACTGGACAACCTTGCCGACCTTCAAGGTGTCAAGCCGTATATTCGAGTCGGAGGAACCACCCAGTCAGTCAAGTTGAATGATGAGTGAAAGAGAGAGCTATGCCTGATGCTTTTATAGAGAACTCGCGCTATATGACCCAGATCTCAAGACCCAGATCAATGGCACCGTCGTCCCAAGCATTACGGAGGACTTTCCATGGCTTGTCTCTATCGGACCATCGTATTTCGAGGCGTACTCCACCTGGCCGGGAGTCAAGTTCAGCCATGATTTCAACCTCGGCAACAATACTACAGCTGGGATGGACACCCTGATTGCCACCGCTCCCTTGGCCTGCAAAGCTCTCAGTCATGGGAACTTCGCCCACTGGGAGTTAGGCAATGAGCCTGATCTATACCAGCTCATCGGCTGGAGACCAGAAACTTGGACAGAAAGCGACTATGTTGCTGAATGGTTGTCTAAATCTCAGATCATCAAACGCCAAATCGCTAAAGCCTGCCCTGGTATGGCTACCGATCATGCGTACAAGTACATTGCGCCGTCATTTGCAGGATTCACGCGTGGTCTGGACCCCGTGAAGACCTGGGAAGATGGACTCGACAAGAACAAGGATATCGGCATGAATTCAATGCACAAGTGAGTATCCCACGATGGAAATATCTCATAGGTAATCTATGCTGACAACAGTCTTACTTAGCTATATGGGCAGCGCAGATACGCCGGGGCTCACTCTTGCAAACACTCTGATGAACCACACAGCGATTGTCAATAGCGTGGCTCCACATACAAATCTATCCCGTGTTCTGAACGAGAAGGGCCTGACTAAAGATATACCTTATATCCTCGGGGAAATGAACTCTCTCTCCCACCAAGGCCAGCCAAAATTGTCAAACTCCTTCGGTGCCGCCCTCTGGGGCGTCGACTTCAACCTCTACTGTGCATCACAGAGCATCGGCCGCACCCACATGCACCAGGGAACAAACTATCGCTATGCATCATGGCAGCCCGTGCAGACCAACAAGACGACTATCGGCACGAAGGCGCCGTACTACGGCAATATTATGGTGGCTGCCATGCTACGCGGTAGTGGAGATCGAGATCATCACAGAGACGCGAGTGTTCAGGTTGTCAACCTCGAAATGCCGCATGAAACTGAAGCTGCGTACGCCGCCTACGTAGATGGAAAGTTGGCCCGAGTCGCCGTGATTAACATGCAGGAGCATAATTACACGGATACCGCGTCTGCGAGCCAGCGCTCCGCGGCCACATACCAGTTTCATCTGCCTGGCGTCTCGGCTAAGCCTCTGTCGGTACAGCGGCTGATGGCGAATGGGAGTGACGCTATTACGGGTATCTCCTGGGATGGTTGGTCTTATAACTATGAATTGAAAGGTGGTGCGCCAGTGCGATTACACAACATCACAGTTGGGGAGACGGTCCGGGTGAATTCTAAAGGGTTGGTGGAACTGGAGTTGCCCTACTCGAGTGCTGCGATCTTGAACTTTTAGGTTTTTAGTTCGGATTTAACATGTTGGAACTCGTATTTGCAAGAAGCGGTTAAGCCCTCACAATACTCAAAGGATCCAGCAGTCAAAAACTAATTAGTTATTAGTAATATTAAAGCCTTCTGTCCTAAGACTTATTGATCTGCCCATCGGAAAGGCCAACTTGGAAGATAAGCGTCTTCAATCGCGAATATAAAGCTTCTTTTGTAGTTGTATATAAAAATAGTCAGCCGGGTTTGCGGCCTTTGGATATCTCTTTAGTAGGTCTTTCTAGCTGGCCTTTTAAGATATCTTCTTGGCTAGTCTTTTTACATTTATGTGTAGGCGGGGAAAAAAGCATACTTTGCGTAAGAGACTTTACTATGTATAACCAGTAGTATATGCTTCAATAAGGCGGTGATGAAAGAGATGATGAGATAGTATCCAATAGGAGAGTTATCAACCGGTGGCATACTTAGTCGCCCGTACGTCTGGCTAAGTTAGGGCAACTCTGCCACTTCTCCATTTCATGAGCTACCTACTCCAGTTCACACCCGTTAAAGTGGAAATAAACTCAACAGAAGATCCGAGAAAAATAAACCTATTTAGGTCTTATATTATGGAGCCGGCAAGAGAGAGAGAGATGGGGGAAGGATACGTCATGGAGTGGTGGGCAGGGATACAAATGAAACACCACAATGCGAACACACCATGAACAGAAGGGAGCGAGAAGCAAGCTATATACTCGGAACTTTTTGAAAATCAGGTAAATTCTTTTTGTTCTTTCTGATTTTCCCCCGAGAGTTTGATCCAGCACTGTTCTTGGGGTTCAAGTTGGGCAAGTATGGTATCGGGATCGGAATCGGGATACTTGGATGATATAAAGTAGATGGTATAGAAGATGGCGAAGTCACAGGGCGACACGAGGAGAGACGTCACCTCGTCGCATCAAAACGTAAATATGGAAAAAGGGTGGGGGAATCTAGGAAGCAGATAGAGAGGAGAAAGGGAAATTTCATGCGCTCAATCGTTGGATGAATGACTGTTGGAAATTGTGTTAGTTGGATGCCACGTAGATCGAAAGCGTGAGTATTAAGGAAGTAGCACATACCGGGAAGAATTGCCGGAACCCTTTCACGTCCAGCTGGCTCATTGCGGTCAGGAACTCTTCAATGAGATCGGCTCCCATGCCCATGCCGGGAAGTTCCTGGTTGCGCAAGTATTCCGCATATTCCATGCCTGTCTTAGAGTAGATAGTGCGTTGCAAAGCGCCGGCCTCCGCAAGGACCTGCTTAGCTTGTGCATCTTTGGAGTTGAAGGATGGTGTCGTGGGGAGTGCCCAGCACAGAGGTGATAACCGGGTGATCATGAATCCACCAAAGCCGGGGAGTGCGGCTTGGGCAGGCGTGGCGCCATTAGCAGGGGCAGGGGCAATGTCAGGTCCGCCCCAGCAGCTTGCCATACGGCCCAAGACGGAGAATGCCATCTTGGCAGTTGTGAAGTCGTCGATATCTTTGGCGAAGTGTTCGATGGTGGTAATGACGGTTTCGAAGATGGGCTGGTTCCTCTCGCTAATGATGACAGTTCCCAAATCATTGTTCAGCACAGCGAGCAAGAAGTTCAGGTATTCTCGCTTCAACTCGGCAAGCTGGATCTCGTCATCAGTGCCGGTTGATGGATCGGCAATGCCAGAGAAGACTCGCTGCAAGAAAGGAGTCAGGAGCGTGTCGAGAATGCTATAGATCTCACCCTTGAACCCAAAGATGACCTGATCCAGAAGGCGGAGGAACAGCGCCATCTCGTCGCGGGAAGATGTCTGAGTCAAGAGCCCATCGATCCATCGGGGCAGTTGAGGGAGAATCTGCGCGCCCAGAACACCAATGAGCCGCGAGAACGCAAAGCGAGCAGCAGTCCGGATATTGAATGAGGAACTGAGAGACTCAAGCGCAACCAGGGTGGCTTCAGCTACTTGGGCGAAAGCCGCCGAGACCTCTGGCGCCGGGAGAGTAGAGGGTGAGCTGGTGCCCGGCTGCCAATCCGAATAACCACGGGCGAGGGTTCCCAGAGCCATGATGTCGTGGTGGATCTGCAGCAATGCACGTTCGTCGTTGGCCTTGGCGGCTTCGAGGTTACGTTCCATGTCGCCGAAAACAGGGTTCATCACCGACTGAGCGTAGAGAACCTGCTTGTCTACACTGACACTTGGGGTAGAGGAAATGATTCCAACGGACTCGAAAAGGTACAGCTGACTGTTGAACACGGCATCCGCAGAGCCCTCATGATCCTCGGAAGACATCTCATCACCGTCATCGCCTTCCGAAGGCACCTCGGCCTGGATAACCAACAAGTCACTCAATGCCTCCACAACATTCTGTGCCACGTTGCCAATTTGACTGCGCAGCTGTCTAGCTAGCCGCTGGAACAGATACCATGAACGAGTCTTGACTTTCTTAACAGGGTGGTGTACAAGCTGAAGGAAGCTCTCCAGAACCCCAGGGATGAGATGAGAATTGTGGGTAAAGAATGAGCTATAACGAACACATATTTCCATGTACTGAAGTTGGGTTGCGGGGTGGGTGAATGATCGGATATCGGACTCTACCATTGCAAGCATCATCTCGATGAGACGATTCGCAGCCATGCCAGTAGGGGCGCCCTTCGTGTAGAGACTGCCGCCCCTGACGGCCAGATCTCCAAACAAGAACATCTCATGCAAAGCGAGATCTAGGTCGCGCCAGTCAAGCTGCCCACCGGATGCCCGCAGCTTTTGGAAAGTTGTTCCCACCACCTCTGAGATTGCATCAATGTAAAGCTGCTCATCGGCCGAGGCGATGATTTGTTGCAAAACACCGAGTCTCTTGCGCAGGTCTTGGAATTCTGCCTCATCCGTCTGCTCGTCCTCCTCGCCCCAGTTTGAGGTCTCGTCGTACCGCATTTTCGCGATGATGGCCTTCAAAATCGGAAGCAGGATGGACTTGTGTCGCTCCGCAAAGGAGGGGTTTGCCTTCGCGAGTTTCCGGATGTAGGTGAGCATGTCGCTGACGCAAGGAATAACAGTCGAGCAGACTTCGTCGTACTCGTCTGAGAAGAATCGTAGAATGTGCGGCAGGAAGACCTGCAAAAGGTTTTCTGCTTGCTCCTTGACTGGACCAGCGTCATTATCCAATACCCGCACAATATCCACCACTGTGTTGTTGACAAGCTTGGCAACTGTCTCTGCCAAGTCAGTATCGTACTTGAATGTGAAGCGGCTCTCCCGTAGTGGAGGGCTGTTAGACAGCTGGGTGATGATGGAGTCAAGGTTCAAGAAAGCGATCATCTCAATTTTGTCCGAGGGCTTCATCTTCTTGCCAATGATCTCCGTGAAGACATCCACGGCCGCATCGCGCACCCGCTGTTCTCCCTCCCGAAGCTCCTGTTTCTCGGCCCGTCCAAGCTGCTGGAAGAGCAGATCCAACATGGTCTGGTTCACTACAAGACCAATATCAATCCAGCTGACCCAGCTACCAACCGCCTTCAAGCACATCTCAACAATCGTATCATCACCTTCCCGCCACACCGCCAAAATCTCCTGCCAGGAGTTGGCAATTTTCTGCATGTCCCTCTCACGGATCAGATCCTTCAGCGCATTCGCCTTGTCCTGTTCTCCGCGAGACCTTGAAACCAGCACATCACCAATCTCCTCATGAATCGAGCTCAGCACACGCAGGTAAAAAACAACTCCAATTTGGCTATCCCGGCCCGCAGATTTGTTGGTCAGGTTCAGTAGATCGTCGATGCAAGTCTCCCAGCCATTCGCGTAAAGGGAAGAGAAGAGGAAAGTTACGGTCTGTGCAATTTTATTTTGAATATAAGGAGCATCGGGGGTAGCAGTAGCCTCCGGGCCGTAGGCCTGGCGAACGTAGGCTAACACACTATCTCGAACGACACCGAGCGAGGCCGGATCGATCAGGCCGACCTGGGCAGCACTATTGACGATCTCGAGACTGACATGCCGTACGACTTCGGGCTGTTGTGGGGTTTGGGTGAAGAGAGAGAGGCACACCTGCCACCCGGAGGGGTCGGAGCGGAGTTGGTTAAGGTATTCGTAGGCTTGCGATTTTAGGGTTGGGTCGGAGGATGGATTCCAGGCAATCTCAATTGCATTTGCTACCTGGGATGTGTCAATCACCTTGTGTCTTGAGCTGGGGGAAAAGGCGTCGGAGGGGTTGTTTGAAACGGCGGGGGAGGGGCGGTGTTGGGGTATTGGAATTTTTTTTGTTTCAAGGGTGCTGAACAGAATTGGGAGACTCACCTGTTCTTCCATCTTCCAGTCTCCCTTCGAGGTGTGGGAAGGAGAGAGGGAAATGAAAACGTAGAGGTGTGTGTTGTTTTAAAATTGTTTTCGGTGGAGGAGATATCAGCTGCGGGCATTCAGCCTGGATATCGTAATCGGTCCCGTGCACCAGGTTTCCGCCTTCGTTTGCCAAGAGAGTGTCAAGTCTTCAAATCAAATGTATAAAGTATCTCGAGTAGAGATATAGAGGGGATTTTGATTGAGAGGTGATGTTCTTTGTGTTTTCCTAAATAAGACAAGGGGCTTGCACACAGTTGTTTTGGGGCGGGAGCTTTGTTGATGGAACATCATTCGATATGTACTCAATTTGCTATACTCATTGCTATATAAGGCTGTCAAAATACCTAAAATGAAACTAAAATAAGTCTAATCCGATATTTTTTTATGTCTATATTATTTTCAGTTTCCAGTTCAATTAGCCTTGTCAGCCTCTTGCTGCAAAACCTGCTGTTCCATCTTCTCGAAGCCCTCGACGGCCTGACCGTACTGCTCAAACACCCCCTTTTGATAACCGTCCGCAATTTTCTCAATGAACTCCTCCTCGTTCCACCGCTGTCCGATCAGGCTCTCAAATGTTTGACCGGGCTGTCTCTCGATCCCCCAAACGGCCTTGTATGCGGCACCCAGAGCGCAGGCATTGTCGCCAACGTCAAGCGAATATACACCTTCAACACCGCCGAGGATCTCGCCAGCAATTTTGGCAATTGCCTTATTCTTAGACCCTCCGCCAACGAGATAAACTCGGCGTGGCTGCGAGGGGAGGCCATTGCCAGGGCTCTGGGTAAGGTCCCGAGACCGCAACCGCAGTGAAAGCAACTGGCTCTCGATGATGGCGCGGGCTTCGTCCTGCGGCGAATTCCATCCATCGGTCGTTTCTTTCAGACTTCCGGTATTGGCATCGTATGTAAAGCGCCATTGGCCCTTGCTAATGTTTGGTACGATCTCGTGTCGCGGGAAGAACAGGCCCATCTTCATTGGGCCCGATGCATTCTGTTGACCCAACGGCGCAGTCTGCAGGGCAGCCTTGTCAAAGTTGGCCCAGGGTTGGGCAGGGGTATCCTTAAGGCTCTCATTAATCGCGTCTCGGACGTGCTCACGGGCCAGGCCGCCATTCTTATAGCACAGCATGAACATGTACAAGCCGGGGGTAGTAGGGTGGTTGAAGAAGTGTGTGGACGGATCGGGTTTGTAACTGGGAGTAGACATGAGGAAGGTTGTAGATGTGCCAAGCGAAACCATTGCATCTGATGGCAGCAGTGGCAGCGCAAGAATAGTCGCAGGGTTATCGCCAGTTGCTGGAATAACTGTACAATCGGGACTGAAGCCGAAACGCTCCACGAAATACGGATGAACGGAGCCTAGGTGCAGGCCACCATCTTCCGGTACCTCGCCGAGCTTCTGCTTGAGATCCTCAGCTCCAAAAACACCCGAGCAGAGCTGAATCAGGCGCTCGTCATACGCCCCTTTCTTGATGTTCCACAAATTCATCCCGCACACATCGGAGATGTCGAATGGGGCTACATGGCCGAGGAAAAGTGACGCCAGGAAAGATGACACCAATGAGATTCTCGAGGTCTTCTTATAGATCTCGGGGTGTTTCCTTGTGAATCGGAGGATTTGGGGACCTGTGAATCTCTAATGAGAGTGTCAGTATGCTTGCCCCGCATATGCTTAGACTTCGGGGACTTCTTACATGGTGTGCTTTACTTCCAGTAGCCTGCGCCAAATCTTCGGGCTTGCCGAGAGCTGCGTCAAACTCATCACATTCTTTCTGGGTGCTCGAGTCTTGCCAATTAGGACTGTACGGGTGGGAGAAAGCGCCTTCCAGCTGTGCCTCGAGGGACTTGCTGGAATCTAGATTGCGGAGAAGCGACTCCGCATTCTGACCCCAGTATACACTTCCGTGCTGCTGTCCCGCACCACTAATTCCTTTGACACGGCGGAAATCAAGTCCCTGCTTGCGCAGGCTTTCTAGCACACCGTCTAATGCCTGCAGCCACAGAGCGACCGGTGCAAACACTTCATGTTCGGCTTCATTGTTCAGCACGCCTTTTTTGATCGAGAACCCTTGCGAGTCGGCATCGAAGTCAAATTTGGCAACGTGGACCACTTTAAGATCGGAATTGACAACTAATCCCTTCAATTGTTGCGTCGAGAGATCGAATCCAATGTAGAGAGGGGTATCTGACGACATGATGGAAGAGATACAATTCCAAGCAATGGAGTAGGAGGAAAGATAAAGAGAGAGAGAAGTGGGATTCTTAGAATTCTTGGGATTCTTCCAAATTTAGGCAAAAAGAAGTGAATGATCAAGGGACGAATCCGGGAAAAGAAGTGTCCAAGTGCAAGCGGCAATATTCCCAGGTGGGATGATGATGTAAAGCGACTATAACCGGTTCCCATAGTGGACTTCGCATATTTATGATTCTTTTATACGAAGTACAGTTGAAAAAGTGGAAAGTGAATACCGAGAACCAATTAGGTCAAGTTTATGATTCTCCCAGGAATGTCAAGTCAAGCCCGAGATGGTTTTGCCGGGTAAATAGCTTTTGCTAGCTGTTGCTCTGCTAAATTCTCGGTAGAATAGAACTGCCCCACTATATACTCCGTATGTTATATGTTGTATCTGTTATATTGTAGACTTGTTTTATATTCAATCTATACATATAGATCGCGCATCTAAGGGTATCATTGCAGAGTTCTATCCCTATTGATGCTTCCGAGCATCTAGGGGTGTCTCCGGGTCACCACTAATATCTTGCGCAACGAACTCATCCGAGAACGTGAGGTTCTGATCTTCCACCGGAATGAAGCGGACCTTGATGCGCTTGACGCCACGAACTCCAGATCCAACAGCTGTGCGAACGGCCTCTTCGATGTGTCGCGACCGGCTAATAGCCCAGGCACCCGGCACAGCCAACTCAATGTCCATAAGGTAGTTTTGACCGGACTTCATGCCTTGTACGTCACGAACAATCACTTCGTGTCCATCCTCAAGATCCTTCAAGGCCTTGGAGGCAGCATCCTCCACAGAGTGTCGTACTTCCTCGTCAACCGTAGTATCCGCCAACTCCAAAAGAGAGGTACATGTGTTGCCCCAACCGGCTTTGATGACCATCAGGGAGATCAGGACCCCGCCAACTGGATCCAGCCAGGTGGCGTCTTGGAAGACATAGCTTCCTCCAATTGTGAAAAGGGCGACGATACTCGTCAGGGAGTCGATGCGGTGGTGAATAGCGTTGGATGCAAGCACAGATGACTTGCGCTCTTCGGCAACCTTCATGGCTAGAATATAAAGTTAGTCACATGATTGATATAAACACCAAGATCCCTGCATCTATTCACTTACTGGCACGGTAGAGCCACTCCTTAACCACGATCGAGCCTGCTGCGATCCACGCCGCGTGGATGCTAGGACCAATCGGCCCATGACTGTGCGAATGACCATGTCCCAAAATCCCGGAGTGAGCTACTGTTTCAGCCACGTCGGGGTAGAACTGAGCCAGCAGGACCTGTCCCGCGTTGAGACCCATGAACACTCCTCCGCAGAGCAGGAGCCCACTAACTCCCAGCGCACCTATGCTCTCGATTTTTCCATATCCATTAGGAAATCGTTCGCTCGGGGGTTTCAAGGACCAGGCAACGGTTCCCAGTGTCAAAAAGTCGGAAACGAGATCGGTGAGCGCGTGGTAGGCGTCGGCGATGAGGGATTGAGAGTGAAAGACATAACCGCCGATGAATTTTCCAATTGCCATACACAAATTTGCGACGAGACCAATCCGGGTAATGCGAACACCAGCGTCGCGTTTGTTTGTAGAGGTAAGATAGGTATTGTCGTGGTGGTGGTGGTGACCGTGGCCGTGGCTATGGCCATGATCCCTAGTTTGTGTCATAGCTAAAGATGTTGCCGGACGTGGAATGGAACGAGGTCTGGAGTGAAAAATGAAGGAAGAAGGGTCTTTTAAAAAAGGAGTAGAAGTAAGTATGCGCCGCTGGGCATTAAGAGATCTGAGACTGGAGATCCTTAAGTGGAGAGGGCGAAGCCTGCATAGGGGCTGCGTCAGCGGCATCGCGTCGAGGGCACGCGAGCACAATGAAAGGATTGGACAGGGTGGTCTTTTCAGGGGTCTTTGTGTTGTTAAGACAGGGTTTTAGTTTCAGTTACGTCTAAATCCACCCGGAGGATGGGATGTCTAGGTGCAGGTGGGATGTTCATGTCATCCGGCAATTCCCTTGATTTTCCGTTTCCAATCCAATCTGCACGCTTGCATTTCTCCCTATGACCATCTCCATGTCTCCTATTGATCCCCTTAACTCGGACTACCCCCCGAAGCCTATCAGAGTCCTTCTTTATCAATCTTTCATATGAAACTAGTATATAATCTCTGACGAATCTTGAATCTTCAATACCTTCTTACGCAGTGTCCCGCCAAGCATCCAACTACGCAATCGTCGGAGAGCCTCCACTCTCGTTTCGCCAAGACACCCCGTGGACGTATAATGTGCGTCTTCAATGACGACGCCTGCCATTCGGATTCCCTTCACGGGACCATTGCCACCTGCTATCATAATTCCTCGGGCAGCGACAACGATTGCAGGAGCAATTGAGGCTATCAGCACTTTCCTCACTGCACCGCCGTCCTCAAATCTCCGCGGCATCGATGTGGGGAGACATTCCCAGACGGTACTACTGACTGGCGCAGGTATCTCCGTCGCATCTGGTCTGTCGGATTATCGAGGCGACCAGGGTACCTACCGGGTAAACAAATCCTATCGTCCGATTTACTACCACGAGTTCATCTCCCACCATGAGTCGCGCAAGCGGTATTGGGCGCGCAGCTTCGTTGGATGGCCTGGACTCTTGAAAGCGAAGCCGAACTCGACTCATTGGGCAATTAAAGGTCTCAGTGAGAAGGGGTACATTAGTTCCGTTGTGACACAAAATGTCGACTCGTTTCATTCCCTCGCGCATCCGGATTTGTCTACCCTCGAACTACACGGATACTTGCGATCGGTCGTCTGCACGAGCTGTCGAAACCAACTTCCCCGCGCTGACTTTCAAGCATCGCTGGAGAGACTCAATCCAGCTTGGGCGGAGTTTTTAGCTCGTATAGTTGCAGAGGGTGCGCTCGATACCGATAATCCGGAGGAACAACGGCAGAAAGGCTTGAAGCTTAACCCGGATGGTGATGTCGATCTCGCTGAAGCACCATATTCTACTTTTCGTTATCCTTCATGTCCGACCTGTTTGGAGAACCCTCCCACGCTGAGCGATGGCAAGAAGGCGACTGTAGAGATAGAGAGCGACGGTGCGTTATCGGCGACTTCAAATGCCGGCATTTTGAAACCGGCAGTGATCATGTTTGGTGAAAATATCGATCCACTGGTGAAGACAGCGGCTGAGGAGGCCATTGATGATGCTGGGCGGCTACTCATTTTGGGCACCAGCCTAGCGACTTTTTCGGCCTGGCGCCTAGTGGAACGAGCACACAACCGAGGCATGCCTATTGGTATTGTCAATGTTGGTGGCGTAAGGAATGAAGCCATGCTATTTGGGAATATTGGAGATGATTCCACTGATCATGTTCGATGTAGCCATCCATCCCAGTTAGTTCTCCCGACCGTTGTATCCCAACTCCCAGTCAATTTATAGATTTAGAAAATAAGATAAAAAAATCCACTGAAATCAAAATCACCGTGAAAGAATACACCAATTGTAGCCAAAATAAAAATAGAAATAAGTGTAGGGATAATAAGCGCCTGCCAACTCAGGCCAAAAAAAAAAGGCCAAGTCTGATAAGTCCCGGGCCGCTCAGCGCGGGGCTCCTCCCTCACGTCTCAGCATGGAGCACTTTAGGGATCCTGCAGCCCACCCTTTAAAGATCGCCTCAAATCTGGTCTCTCCTGGTCACTTTCTCTTCCATTCTAAACCCAAACCATCGGGGCCACCGGCTTCCAAAGTTCCACAGAAAATGGACAAATCTCAGCAGCCCAGTTCCTTCCAGCAGCTGGAAAAGGTATGCCTTTCTACTTATCTGGTCTTAGACTTCGGATCTTCGCTAACCTGGTATTGGTCTTATTTCTAGCTCGGCGAAGGCACTTATGCTACCGTACGTCTTAATCTCGATCTCCATATCGCCGCTTCTCTACCCCGCTCCTATCCTGATCGCCACTCTCCTCCGTTCACCGCTGATGCAAAATAATACAGGTCTTTAAAGGGCGCAATCGCCAAACCGGTGAAATGGTGGCGCTGAAGGAGATACACCTGGATTCGGAGGAGGGAACCCCATCAACCGCAATCCGTGAGATCTCGCTCATGAAGGAGCTGAAGCATGAGAGTATTGTCTCGCTCTACGATGTCATCCACACGGAAAACAAACTCATGCTTGTGTTTGAGTTCATGGACAGAGATTTGAAGAGATATATGGACACTCGCGGTGATCGTGGACAGCTGGATCCTGCCACGGTCAAGTCTTTCATGCACCAGTTACTCAAGGGTATCGCCTTCTGCCATGATAACCGAGTCCTCCACCGCGATCTGAAGCCACAGAACCTCCTGATCAACAAGAAGGGCCAACTCAAGCTGGGTGACTTTGGACTGGCTCGCGCATTCGGCATTCCAGTTAATACCTTCTCCAACGAAGTCGTCACTCTGTGGTACCGCGCACCGGACGTCCTCCTCGGAAGTCGCACCTATAACACCAGCATTGATATCTGGTCCGCTGGCTGCATCATGGCAGAGATGTACACGGGTCGTCCGCTTTTCCCCGGCACAACTAACGAGGATCAGTTGGTCAAGATCTTCCGCCTGATGGGCACACCATCTGAACGTACATGGCCCGGCATCTCGCAGCTGCCAGAATACAAGTCCGACTTCCATATCTACGCCACGCAGGATCTGTCGCTGATCATTCCTCAAATGGATGCTATCGGGATGGATCTGTTGAACCGTATGCTCCAACTCCGTCCGGAGATGCGCATCAGCGCCACCGAGGCCCTGCAGCACCCGTGGTTCCATGATCTGCCCCAGATCCAGGCTAAATTGCAGCAGCAGCACCAGCAGCAGCAGATGGCTGGGTACGGAGGCATGATCCCCCCGCAACCCGCTTATTAGCGGTCTAGACTGCGCATGACGAGATGACGAGCTCGATTAGACAATTGGACATGGGAGAATTCGGCGTTATACCCGATGATGGATATTTTTGCTTCCCTTTTTTTTCTTTTTTTAAACTTGATATTGCGGATATTGGGCCAGTTTTGTCAAAGATAAAGAATATCTGGTCTGCTTGGAGATGAATTGACTTCAGAACACTGTTCTGTTGTCTTTATGATGATCTGGAGCAGTGCTCCAGATGTTATCAACCTTCTGCTTGTTTTCTAAATAGCTCTTCCTCGAGAAATGAAGTCTGCCATCCACCCCAAGCTGTATTTATTAACACAAAGAGCAAGACATGTGCAACAAACACTTGGGCCTAGTTCAAATGGCCCCGTTGGAACTGCAATCCTCGGGAATATCTTGACTTGTTACTGCAACTGGTTCTTTGTTCACTGGCCAAAGATTTTCGGAACGAACAAGCCCATGGCTGCTGTATTGCGCTTCATTATCAAGTACCCGGCCGTAAGTACCTGGGGTAACCCTTTCGAGCATGCATTATGTTGGCGATTGAATGTCTCCATGCTTGTTCGGAATAATCTTTCAAACATGCAGTTACCCGTATTTCAATCTAGTCTTCTGCAACGACTAATGAGCTGTGAAAACATCGGGGGAAACAAATGTGCTAGTGTCACACACGGGCGCACTGACTTTAGGATTTCACAAGGCCCCCAAAATATTGTCACCGTTGTACCCTTGGCATATTCAGGTTACTTCATTCTCAGGACCTGTGAACACCCCAACAGCTGCGGGGAACCAAGGCTGCACGCCTGAACGATGACTCTAATCAATAGTGCAACCCAAGAGCTTTGCCTCCCAGACTTGTCTAAGCAGGCCAGTACTTGTCCTTTATTCAATCCCCTAATTATATCGCAAATTACCCGGAGATTGCACGTTGTGGTACCACCCAAACTAGAATCGTTCGCATGTCTTTCCCTGGGAGCACCGGTTTGAGCCCTGGCCCATGCGGTGTTTGAGAGGAAGAAATCATTTAAAAGTTGCCCTGCTTAGTTCTTACTCCTATTCTTGGCGGTTGTTGAACCTAATACTGTTGGGACCGCGCCCTTTACCACAGCGCCCGACATCAGGCCGGCATATTCCTAGCTATAAGCCGATGGGAATAACAGCAATATGCTTATTGGGCTAGTCCTGAATTTTTTGTAATTTGCCTTTTTGTTTACATTCTTTGTTGCCCGTTACGGATAATAAGCAGGTAGTATTGTGCTTTGGTCATATCTACTCGAACCGTTTGCCTTCTGTTTCGAAGGCGAACCATAACCCAAAAAAAATAAGTCCCCGCCGGTAAATCTACGATCATCTGTCACAAGCCAACTGGGCTTTGTTGAACCACGAGGATCTTCTCGGTTCATATCTGCCGTTGGATATAACCTTCAGGCGCTGGAAGCCCTCCCTTTCGCGGAGACTGGGTCATAGACCATGATACCATGACGCTGTCAGAACAACAAATATTGGCCATCTCGGTCACAGAGCGTGTTTGCTCGACTATTTCCCTGGTTGGAACTTTTGTTATAGTCGCTACTTTTATCTGGTCCCCCACGTTCCGTAAACCCATCAACCGCTTGGTGTTCTATGCATCATGGGGTAACATCATGGCTAATATAGCCACCATCATATCGGCAGACGGGATTCATTCTGGGTTTGATAGTTCCCTGTGCCAGTTCCAGGGCTTTTTGATTCAATGGTTCGTATCAAATCCGTAACTAAATACCCTTAGCAGACGACCGCTAAAAAGCAGAAATAGGTTCATGCCCGCCGATGCACTATGGACATTCGCAATGGCATGCAACGTCTACCTAACATTCTTCCACAAATACGACTCGGACCAACTACGCCGGCTCGAATGGAAATATGTGCTCTGCTGCTATGGCGTTCCATTCATCCCAGCTTTCGCATACTTCTTCGTCCAGACCCAAGCCCGAGGCCGGATATATGGCTCCGCCATCGTAAGCAAACCCCCGAAGCCCTCCCTTCTACCATAATATGCTAATCCAACTACTGCCCAACAGCTCTGGTGCTGGATCTCTGTACAGTGGTCCTTCCTCCGCATCGCCATATTCTATGGACCAGTCTGGCTCATTATCTCATTGACCTTCGCCATCTACCTACGAGCAGGGACGGTGATTTACCAGAAACGGCGCCAGCTTCGGAACCTCGGTGGCATTGATTCAGACCTTGTCCCAGAATCCCCTTTTGTTATGTTGACTGGCATCCAAGTCACCAGGGAGATCGCCTGTTCTACCCCAGAGCGCCGGTCCTTGTCGGAGGGCGCCGCGCGCGGGTTGCCGTCTAATGCATTTAGAGCATACTCAGTCACGATCGAGGGCGGGAATACCAGCAGCACACTTCAAGGTCCCAGCTCGAATCTCAGTCCCAGTCCTCTTCAGCAGGAGAATTCTAGCAAGACCGTACGACCGGATGGAGTGGACTCACAGCGGAGGTCGACGTCCGCAGAAGCTAGTTCAGCTACGTGGGCGTATACTAAATACGCTATGTTGTTTTTTATTGCATTGCTTGTTACATGGGTAGGTCTAGTCGAAGCCCATTATAGTCTGAAAACCGTTGTCGGTTCTTTTCGTATGTTGATTGTTCGGCATTGCAGGTCCCCTCGACGATAAACAGAGTCTATTCCCTGGCTCGTCCTAACGATTTTAATTTCAGTCTCAACTATGCATCTAGCTTTGTTCTTCCACTCCAGGGCTTTTGGAACAGCCTTATTTACGTCTCTATCTCGTGGCCCGCATTCAAATTACTTTGGTCTGACCTCCATAGCCGCGTATCCTCGTGGTGCATGCCCCGTTCGGTGGCAAATACACAATCATTTCATATGCGAAAAAGCTCTCAAAGCTCAAGTCCTGCTCTTTTGGTGAAAACTGAGAATGAGGAGAACAGACGTCGGAATTGGCTGGGCTTAGATCCATCGAGTTAGGGCTGGGAGTTGGTTGATAATGATTGCCCCATTCCCATTGCAATATATCATATGCACTGCTTCATGTAAGCGATATACACCCATACTAGCACTATCTACTCCGTAGCATTTGACGGAATATGAAAATAAAATAAAATAAACTTACAAATATCGACATAATTCACGACCCAAGTTCAATCTATAGAAACACGTGACCGTCGCGTCGCGTTGAATAGAGTCCGTCCAACACCCCAGACCCAAATTCCCAAAGAACCACAAATAGCTTGCTGCACACCACTCTCGCCATACCCGCATACTCTTCATTGCTTCCCACTCTACAATTCAATTCCGACAGCAGAAACATCAACCATGGCCGAATCAAATTCCCACCAACCGCCCGCCCCGTCGCCGTCCCCTCCCCCGCAAGCACCAATCCCCCAACCCCCGGGCCCGCGCGCCTCACGTCTAAACCAAGTCTTCGAACAGGCTCTGGCACGCACGCTCCGTGCAAACTCGTATGCGAACTTTGCAGGCTGTTTCCCGACACCTGCGCGCCACGTTCCTGCTAGCTTGGAGGGTGTCTGGCGGCAGTTGAACGCGAAGCTGGAAGCGAATGCCAAGGCTGAGTTTGATGATATTGTCGCAGAAAGGGATGCGGTGGCACATTTGAATGAGCTTGATCGGCTGGTTGGGGATGCGAGGGCTAGGAGGGAGCAGGAGGGAGAGAATGCCGAGGGACAAGAGAGAACAGTGTACGTTAGACAGATTTGGTTTGTTCGGACTATGTCTGTTTTTGCCTTTTTTGGTTCTGACTTCTAACTTTATTGACTATACAGCGCGCATACACTCGGCGCCGAAGATCTGTACAAAGCCCACCTTACGCCCTATCTGCAGGAAGCGCAGTCGACCCTCAACGCCAGACTCGAGGCTACTCATGCGGAAAACGCCGAGCTTGCGCAGACTGTGCAGGCGCAGAGACTGGAAATTGAACGGCTATTGTCGCATCTTGGATTGGTCGTTTCGGATATTGAGGGTGCTGCTACGGCAGCCACGCAATTCAGCAGACAACATCACATTCGCCAGGACGCGATCCAGATGGATGAGGAGGCGAAAGCCCGTCCGGGTCTGTGATCGTGGTGCGGAAACTGTTTCTCTATCCGATTCATGATGAAATCAGGGCACTCAATTCCCTGCCGTCAACCATTCCGTCTTCCACCATATCCTGCGCCACGACTATCACCTGCTGGAGGTTCGTTGACTTGAGCTGCTCGAGCTTCGTATTCTGGCCTTCGATCGCTGCGGCAATCGCCTCCTTGTAAGTTCCGTCGCGTTCTTCCTCGGCCGCTCCGTCGCGGCGGGCCAGAGCTGTTGCCCCGCGATAGTACGTCTGAGCGTTGCGTAGGAGCATAGCTCCGTTCTGCTTCGCCATGGCGTGGTTCCAGGGCGCTCGTCCAAGACACCATCTATGCATCTCCGCGTCCCCGCGACCAAGGTGGATCTTGGGCAGGTTGTCGGCATCTGGGAGCTTGGTAGCAGCCGTCAATGCGTCTAGGGCGGTGGAAAGCGACTTCCAACGCAATGCTACCGCGTTCTCGAACGCCTCGTCATCCTCTGATGGGGGGATGTCTGAAAGCGCCTGGTTCAATGACGTGAGCGCATCTGCTTTTCCACACAGTCCTTCAGGATCCGCAGATACATCCAGCTCTGGACCAAAAACCTGTCCAACCTCCTGCTGGTAGGTTTGGATATCGGTGTGTCCGCCTCGGTAGAGTAAATCGTTCAAGGCACAGATGAACTTGGCGCGCGCCAAGGCCGCCTCATACTGTCTGTCTGAACCTTCGGCATAAGCAGGCAGTCGCGACTGGACAAGCTCCGACGAGTACTCTTGCACCCAACCAACACCACCGCCAGTGGGGTTAGAAGTCAACAAGTTGCACAGAGTAGTTAAAGTCTCGAGCTGCGCCACCGCGGTGTCCACGAGCGTATTCTTCGTGACGGGCTCCACAATCATCGCCCACTGCTCTTGCTCCTCGCCTGCGGACTCGGCTTGGGGCTGCCCTGCGGCCTGTGGTACAACCTCCGGCTCCGGTGGCACATCCCCAGATTCCATCAGTTCGATCTCCTCTTGCAATTCCGTATACTTCATCTCCTGGATCATCAGACACCGCTGGAACAGCTCAATCGCCTCTTGCAGGTAGGTTCCTGCCTGCATCTGCTGCTCCTCGTCGGGATGCTTCACGTTGGACATCAACTCCGCTATGCTGGTCAGCACCTGGCCCGAATTGAACAACACGTCAGCATTGTCCTGCTCCAAAGCCAGCGCATCCCGGTGAGACTGCAGGGCAACCTGCAAGAGATCACCCTGTGGCGCTGGCAGCTGGGCCGCTAGTTTGGGGTGCTGGGTAATTTCATATTGGACTCGTGCTCTGGGCGGGGTGTGTTAGTAAAGGTAAACTCAAACCAATACCTCTCAATCATGGATGAAATTTGAAAATTTCAAAACAATGGCTTGTTTCAATATCGTTGCAGGCTTTACATACTTGTTGTAAGCTAGATCGAACGTGCCGGGATGTTTTTGTAGACCTTCGTCATAGTTGGTGATGGCCCGCATAAAGAAGCGCATGGACTTGGCCGCATCTCCGGCCCGCCATTTCTCGCCGGCTTCTTCTAGCTCGACGCCAGCTAGAGGCGGTTAGTTCCTGACTGTAAGGCGTTGTTGAAATATTGAGGTTCAAACACACACCTGCAAGAAAATCATCTGCGGTCACAGGTACCTATATCAACATGTATGAGATCATGACCAAGCTGTTCTGTGCGGGGTATATTGGTACCACATACCTGCTTTGAGGCAGCCTTCTTCTTTGTCTTTGTCTCCCTGAGGAAGGATTTCGGTTTCGCCATATCTGCAGGAAAGCTGTTGATCGTATTGAATGAGGATCGACAGAGATGGCTGCGCGCCTTGAAATTGAAGTAAATGCGGCAGAATCTGCGCGGTGTGTGGCGGAGTATACTCTGTTCCAACGTTGCTTTCACCTCAACTTTATGTAACAATGAAAAATGATAGTTATTGTTCTAATGGCTTTCAAGCTTAGTGATTGGCGGTTCAGTAGTGTCAGACTTCTTTGAACTATAAAATGAGTGACTAAAAGACTCTCAAAGCTGCCTGATCCTTCGGATCTGCATGGATGCCAAGACCGGGACTAGATGGCTGTTGGTGTAAGCAGTTTTGTTTCATGTTATTTTGTTGTTTCGAATGTGGTCATCATGGTACCTTGTGTTGCAAAAAGGGGTGTTGCTCTGTGTCTGTGTAAAAATGATACATATTTGCATCGGCCGAGGTACTCTCCCTTGCTGCAATAGTACCTATGATATAGATAGTAAGTAATCTTACCAACTTCCATTCTCCCCTCTTTGCTACAATATACAACATGATTATAATAGAGACCTTAAAAATAAAATATCTCATAGTAGTATAGTCGTACAGTCGTACCTCATCCCCCTATCTGAAGTACCTAACTACTTACCGAGATGATCGGCTCGCGTGGCAGCACGTGGCAAAGATATCCCCGGTAAAGCTTTCTTGACATCAGAGAAGGGAATTTGAATCATTCCAAAGATATCATTGATCACTATGCAGTGATTTATGATCTTTGATTTGTGTATAATCATAATACATACATATCTACCTTGGAGGTTCATCGCAGACTCTCTTTAATACGCATCTTACGATTACGTCGATCTTTCCATAAAAAACCCTTCCACCCCTTTCCCGCCACACATTGTGTCTTTCCCCACCAATTCGACCCACCCCGTTTTGTCTTCTCCTTTCTGTGACTCTATTCTTACTCCTGCACTGAATTGATACCGTTGCGCGTGATTCCAACACACCTCCTTTTACCCAAATTGAGTATGTACCCCTTGGAAATTCGAGATCGCCAGCCACTAGGCAGTAATACCCACTAACAGGTCAATCCTGCAGGCTGCATTCCATTCAAGGGCCTTCCTATACCTACAATTTGAAACCCGCCCCTCCTTCGGCGCAAATTCTCCTCTTTATAACCATATCGCCTCCCAGAAATGGCTCGCCAACCCTCTCTCGACTCTGAACGTCCCATTATGGCTCAATCGGTAGGAATTCCTCCCCCCTTCCTCTTCCCCTACACCCACTCTGCCCGTCGCAGAGCTTTTCCATTCGTTCTTGAGGACCGCGCAAGCCTAACCTACTACAGAACCGAAACTCGAAGCGATTCTCCACCATCAGTGGAAGCCCCTCGCTGGCTGCCTCCGATCGCACAAACGGCACTCTACCCAGCGGCGACCCCAGAATCGCTGACATCTACCACCTCCACGATGGCTTCGAGCGCCTCGAGAACAAGCCTCTCACCAAGCAGCGATTCGTCCCCACAGAGGAGAAGTCAAACAACTTGAACAAACTCGCTCTTGGGGCTAAGGTCGAGCGCGCTCTCGGCCGGAGGATGACTGGCCAAGACGCTGTCATGCGCAAGCCTCTCTCTGAGAAGAATGAGGTGCGGACTGACTAGTCCTGATGGCAACGATACATCTAGGAGACAAATTACTTGCCATGTACTTTGTTCGCTACTTGTTTAGCGGTCTCTGATCGTTCGCTTGTTTCTTGTTCCTCATTTCTGCATTTTCTTTCCGTCTCAACATCGGAGCCTCTATCGATGCGGCTATTATGATTGTTGTCCTCTTTTACAGTCACCCTTTCATGTCCTATCATACCCCTCTTTTCTTTTTTTCGGATCAGTTTGTGGCGTTTTGACTTGATGAGATGCGCATTATTTCCTTGAGTATGAACATCCGGATCTGGTATTTTCTTTTCACTTATTTTTCTTGTCTGGCTGTCACGTATCTTAAATTATCATGCAACTCTTCCTTAACTTCATCTATATCGATAGAATTCCTAATAATACAACATATACAGAGTATACACATATTCTTGTATACTAAGTACTATAAATTCTGCCGGGCGGTGTCCATCCGCCAAGCCCACGCGAAACCCGCACGGAGTCAAAGAGAAGGAAGTTCTTTTCTTCGAAGGCGAATTCCCACAGCTTCATTCCATCTCTTTTTTGTTTCCCATTTTCTACCTGAATCTCCCCCCCACGCCTCTGTCCATCTTCCAAACCCACATTTTCTCGATCTATCTTTCTCATCTTTCTCTCAAACCCTCCACATATCCCTCTCCGCGCCCATCAGAACCGAGAACTCTTTCTCACTTCAGCTATACTTCCCGCTTTTCCGCAATCTCAAAGCGCTTCGCTTTTTTTCTATTTTTTACGTGCTTTCCTTCTATCCTCTTCAATTGATTGCATTGGTGCTTGGTCCATTTCGCATCGTGAGTTCAGATCTACCATGTCCAATTCGATCGCATGGTAAAGATCTCAAAACTAACGAGCATCCAGTGAAGCGAGGGAACACGAACAATTTCATTTTTAGAACGTTCATCGCTTGATTCTTCTTAAAAAAAAGCCTTTCGGCCGTTATAGTCTCGGTCATCATTTTCGCCGCGCTCGGTTACTTTTAATCTCATTTTCCACCCGAAACCGAAGATAAAACCCCTCAATCCTACACCATGGCCGATATGACTCAGGTTCCCATCAATGGCAACTACCCTGCCCAGCACGGTTTCCCCGAATCGTACAACCATGCATCTGTCACCATGAACACTGCTGCTAGCTTCCAGCCTGCGCAATCCTCCACCCCGACTACCGTCACTCCCACCGATCAGCAGAAGAATGAGATCTCCAAGGATGAGGTGGGCTGGTATTTCGTCGAGCAGTACTACACCACCATGAGCCGCAACCCCGACAAGCTTCACCTGTTCTACTCTCGCCGCTCTCAGCTGGTCTTCGGCACTGAGGCCGAGTCAGTTCCCGTCAGCGTTGGTTCTAAGGTGAGTTTTAATTGGATCCTTCAATGTGAATGTTATCTAACTAAGCATCTCCACTTTCATAGGCCATCAACGAGAAGCTCAACTCGTTGAAGTTCCAGGAGTGCAAGGTGCGCGTCCTGAATGTCGATTCTCAGGCCTCTTTCGACAACATTCTGGTCTCGGTCATTGGTGAGATCTCCAACAACTCCGAGCCATCCCGCAAGTTCGTGCAGACTTTCGTCCTCGCCGAGCAGCCCAATGGCTACTATGTTCTTAATGATATCTTCCGATACATGGCCGAAGAGCCAGAAGAAGAATCCGAGCTGCCCACCCCTGCTGCGCCTGTTGCCGAAGCCCCCGAGGCCGTTGCCGAGGCTCCCGCTGAGGAGCCCCAGGTGGCTGATGAAGTCGCTGTCTCAAATGTCGATGAGAAGCTCGAGGAGGTCGAGGCCAACGGTCAGGTTGAGGAGCCCGAGGAGGCCGCTCCCCAGACCAACAGCGCTCCCGTTGAGGAGGAGACCCCCGCTCCCGTTCCTGCCGTCGAGGCTGAAATTGTGAAGGATGAGGAGCCTGCCACCCCTGAGCCCTCTCCCGTTCCCGAAAAGGAGGAGGTCCCTGAGAAGGAGACCTCAGCCACTCCCGCTGCCCCCAAGACCTGGGCTAGCATTGCGACTACCTCTTTCGCAGCTAAGGCCGCTGCTGCTGCCAAGGCTTCGGCCGCCCAGGCTGCTCCTGCTGCCCAGGCTACCCCTGCTACCCCTGCTGCTCCTAAGGCTGCTGCTCCCGCTGCTCAGGCTCCCCCTGCCGCTCAGCCCGCTACCGCCGCCCCCGCGGACGCTGCCCGTTCCCAGGACGCCCCTTCCACCGAAGCCGGATGGCAAACCGCCGGCGACGGCCACAAGAAGTCGCAGCCCCGTGTTGAGGAGACCGTCCTCGCTTATATCAAGAACGTCAACGACAAGGTCGATGCCAGCTTGCTCAAGCAGACCTTGGCTCGTTTCGGCAAGCTGAAGTACTTCGATGTCAGCCGCCCCAAGAACTGCGCCTTCGTTGAATTCAACGAGCCCGCCGGTTATACCGCTGCCGTTGCCGCCAACCCCCACCAGATTGGCAGCGAGCAGATCCTCGTTGAGGAGCGCCGCCCCCGTGGCAACGCCTACGGCAGCAACGGCTTCCCCGCCGGCCGTGGTGGTGGTGCTGGCCGTGGTCGCGGTGACCGCGCCGGCAGCCAGGGCCGTGGTGGCTTCCAGCGTGAGGGCCGTGGTGGCTTCACTCCCCGTGGCCGCGGTGGCAACGTTGCCGCCAAGGGTCGCCCCAGCCAGCCCCAAGCTGCTTAAACACTCTACGTGATTTTGATGATCCTCTACGTTCTTCTTCCCCGTCGGTCCGATATCTCTCGCAATTCCCGTGAGCATTCCTCCGGTGGATGATCTTCTCAGGATCTGTATTACTCCGATTTTGATTCTCTTTTTTCTTTTGCCCCGTCTCTTCCTAATGACATGTGTTACGTGACTATTGCCTCCCCTCTTTTTTCCCGTCACAGTGCATATTAGCGGTTGGTCCGGGTTGGCTGGAAAAGTTGCGTCTCTTTCCTTCCCTCTGGGCACTTGTGTTTTAACCTGACCTATTTTTGCTTTTTTCTTTTTTTTTTTTTTGCTGGGATCGGGTCTCGTCTTCGACATTCACGATTCTCTTTATTCTGCACCATATTCCTTTCTTTCAGTGTCTTCTGCCATGATCTGTTCCTTGCTCCTTTCTGCAAGACGTTATATCGCATCTTTTTTTAACTAGCATAGCAAACTCCAGGGTTTTACGGTGGTGCGCCATCCCGGTCTTTCTTGTATTTTGCTTCTTTTTTTGATTGTCTTGGCTATGAGGATCTCTATGGGATACTTTCCCTTTTTGATGTGTAAATGGGATATTCTCGGAGGGGATTACAACTGTATCATGGGATTATGAGCCTACCAAATATGGATTAGAGAATAATGAATCTCCCAAGTTGCTGTATATTGATGTACCATGTTGTAGATTGATACTCGGGGACCTTGAGGGCTTACCTAATCGTGAGTCGACGAGTCATCCATCCGGGGAAGATTCTAGAGTTCAGGTGCCTGAGGCACTAACAGCTTGCCACTGCAAATATAAAGAACAAAAAGCCAAGGTAAGAGCTACAAACTGGGGAAAATACAGTGAATATTTCCAAAATAAGAAGCAAAAGAAAAAGCAGAAGAGTCTAGAATAATATCGAGAGAGCTGCAGGGGTTGCCTGAACGACGTGGAAGTTGCTGGATCACCGTAGAAACTCTCCACCAGAAATTTTTGGAAACACAAAAGGAACTGGCCCGCCTCTTCGACTCTTTCTCTTCATCTCTCCCTTTTGCTTTGGTTCCTCCCCCCCAGAGCTTCTTTCTTTTTAATTACTTTGCTTTCTTGTAAGATATAAAATCCCCTGTCCTTGTTCTTCTCGTCACCGCTTCCAACTTCCCCCCACTTTCCACCGCTTGATCAGACTCTGCATCTGCATCTCTCTACATATCCCTCAATTGCTATAAATTCATCCTTTTCTAACTCGGATTCTCTTTCAGAATCACAATCCGCCATCATGTCTGAGACCTTCGAGTTCCAGGCTGAGATCTCTCAGCTGCTCTCGCTGATCATTAACACCGTCTACTCCAACAAGGAAATTTTCCTTCGTGAGTTGATCTCCAACGCCTCCGATGCTCTCGACAAGATCCGCTACGAGGCTCTCTCCGACCCCTCTAAGCTCGACTCCAACAAGGATCTGCGCATCGACATCATCCCCGACTTGGAGAACAAGACCCTTACCATCCGCGATACCGGTATTGGTATGACCAAGGCTGTAAGTTTCTGCCCTGAGAGTCATCTCTCACTTTCTCCTTATCTCTCTATTTGGGCATAAAGACTAATATTCATCTCTTATAGGACCTGATCAACAACCTTGGAACAATTGCCCGCTCCGGCACCAAGCAGTTCATGGAGGCTCTGTCCGCCGGTGCTGATATTTCCATGATCGGCCAGTTCGGTGTCGGTTTCTACTCTGCCTACCTGGTCGCTGACCGTGTCACCTTTGTGTCCAAGCACAACGATGATGAGCAGTACATCTGGGAGTCCGCCGCCGGTGGCACTTTCACCCTCAAGGAGGACACCGAGGGCGAGCAGCTCGGCCGTGGTTCCAAGATCATCCTTCACTTGAAGGATGAGCAGATGGACTACCTCAACGAGGCCCGCATCAAGGAGGTTGTTCGCAAGCACTCCGAGTTCATCTCTTACCCCATCTACCTTCACGTCCTGAAGGAGACCGAGACCGAGGTCCCCGATGAGGAGGCTGAGGAGACCAAGGATGAGGATGATGAGAAGAAGCCCAAGGTCGAGGAGGTCGATGATGAGGAGGAGGAGAAGAAGGAGAAGAAGACCAAGACCGTCAAGGAGTCCAAGATCGAGGAGGAGGAGCTCAACAAGACCAAGCCCATCTGGACCCGCAACCCCGCCGACATCACCACTGAGGAGTACGCCTCCTTCTACAAGTCCCTCTCCAACGACTGGGAGGACCACCTCGGTGTCAAGCACTTCTCCGTTGAGGGTCAGCTTGAGTTCCGCGCTATTCTCTTCGTTCCCAAGCGCGCT